TCTAGGCCCGTGACGTCACAGGCCTAGACAGTAGACATTTTCATGTTGATATCACAGAAATCTTAATAACGGAAATGTATATGAACCCGTTAACGTTTGAATTAATGAAAAAATTTTCCATTAGAAATAAAAATGTACTCGAAAACCATGGTTCTGAATAGAATTTAACGAGCTATATTTTCAAATGGTTCTCGTAGACTCATGAACCCTAATGAAATAAATCAAATATGCATTCATACCACCCACCAAAAATAAGAAACTCTACGTTGTATTAGATGTATTAGACAATATACTGTTTCTAATGTTTCATAACTTCGTATTTTTGTTACGATAATTGGCACTTGGCAACACCGCTGTAGACACGATTGATTTTATTGGTCAACAGACACGCGGCCAATTCAAACTCTTGCTTCTCGAATTTTTCGTTTTTCTGCAAATATAAAGAAGTATTGGGACCGATGGCTCAATAAGTATAATATACCAGTAGCTCGATCAGTCTATAAGCAAACCAATATCATTTTCAATAGCACGAAACAAGCACATTCCACAACATATCAATTCCATCACATATCTGAAGAAATATGACTTTTTGAAGTGATAATTTCTTATGGGAGGGTAAACCGCTGCGTTACTTAACGCGTAAAGGTGCCAGTTTGCCTGGCTCTCCATTCTCTCACGCATACGTCAGCGGAAGGCAGGCTCCTCCTCTCTCGCTGGACAGACGCTCAGTGTTTAGTGCGCGTTAGACATATACCGGTGACAGCACTATAAAAATCTAACCAGCAAGCACGTTATATTCTTCCATTATGTTGAACGTGGCATAAAACACTCCAACCTGTTATGAATGTGAATCAAAGTAGTTTTTGAAAGGAGCTGAGTGTATCTCTTCTAGCGGAGAGCAAACATGTATTATATTACAATTTTCCTTTCGCATTCTCGTCTGTGGAGGATCTGATATCCATCGACGGCCACTTGCAGAAAACTTTTTTCCTGGAAGCTGGGGAGCCATAGACAGACAGACATACATACATACACAAAAATTATCCAGGTCGCCTGTTGATCTTTGTTTCTAATAGCCATATTGATGATCGCTCAAGATGTTGAAGCCTTCCAAATATTTGAGGATATACTAGAATTCTGTGCCAAGAATTTAAATATTTTTCTATGGCTTGACGATCTTCTACTTATGGTCAGTTCTGAGTAGAATTGAGATAGCGCCATTTAGTGCTGATTCACGTTAAAAACGTGAATCACTTTATTACGCGCTACAAGTATGGAAGTACTATTATTATTTCGCGTTGTATAAACCGCAAATTATTTGTTGCCGACTCTTTGACTATTATTCTCACGACTACGCTCAGGCAATTATTCAAATCAGAATCGTGTACTGGCAAATAACAGTTGGGCTGAAAAGTTAGTAGACTAACATGGAAAAAAATGGATGAAATTTGGTTTTATTATTTAATTTAGTTGCCTTCAAGGGGGGTACAACGATTAGTTATTTAAGTTACGAAACAATATTAAATATTTGGGAAAGAAAGTTTTTGGCTTTCTACTACTCCATCTTGAAAAAAATGGATGAGGGAATCTTTCAAAGAAAGGAAGGAAGTAATCAATTGGAAAATAAGTTCTCCCGAAACAGTTCCCAGAGAAAAAAGTTCAAAACTGTGAGGTCTGGAGATCTAATCAAAATAGTCCTCGTGCCGAATTGGATCCGGGAAACGCGGGCAAAATTGTCAACCCACGTAAATCTGACGTATTCAAATGAGGTGCAACCAAGACCGATTAAAATCTAAAGTTGCAATCGAAATAAATCTGTGTTAGTGGAAAACCCGGCTTAGCACTATTACTATTACGTAAGCAGATGTAATCGATCGGTTCACGCTGAGTTACTTCGTGTGAGGGGTTCACCGTTTTTTTTTTGTTGAGTTGTCACCCGAGCATGTCGATTGTTTATCGATGTGGTACAGTTTGAGGCTGGAACTAATTTGGGATTTTCGTTGGGTCGAGTGGAACCAATCGCAATCCCATTCATCGACGAGAATATAGATCGATTGATTGGATTTTCCAACCACAAGGTTCCTGATTCGAAAGTGGCTCGAAACTAGTTGTAAACGTTTCGACATACGACGACGGTAGATTCTTAGAATTCTTGGTATTGTGTGCTTCACGCCGTTGCAATTCGAAGATATAACATCATCATAGTTGCACAACCGCCCTCTTGCTCTTGATGATATTTTCAGAGATACTGACCAAGGATTATGCACTGTTGTAATACCTAGCAGAAGCTATGTATGTGAATATATATTCTAGCTTCGGGAATATATAGATTTCTTTTGATTCAGAAACTAAACGACGGTCCTGTACCTCTTACAATGTAACATTTCGCCCAGACCGTGAGAGTGTTAAAAAAATAATTTGCTTGTTCCTTAGCCATGAGAAATACTTATCGGAATTCAAACAAACGGGCAGACAAATATATCAGTTTCAGAACCTTTGAATCTTTAAATTGCAATTTAAGCGAAATAGGTTTTGCTGGTGACCTCTGTCGCGCGTGGGCGACGGTTACTAAGAACGACGGTTCTTTCGACGCTTAGTTGTGCGGGAAATTTTTCGGAAGTCAATCGTGCGGAAAATCTTTTAAAAACAACTCTTCCTGGACTGCGAGCAGGGTTCGCGAACTTGGGAGCTTGAAGGGTGCTCTCGACGATCGGTCACGCCCGTCGAGACGAGTTCGAGGGGGTCATCCCTCAGCCCTCGAAGCTGAGGAAACAGGGGAGTAGTTTTTCAAGCCTGTGGTGCGAAATTTAAGGGAAATCAGTAGCGAAACCGTAAGCCGGTATTAGGTACAGGAAAGTTTAAAATAAAAGTGTTGGTGTTGGACACACTAGGTCAACGGAACCTATGGGTTGGCCATGAATCATCAAAGAGGCGTTATGTAAGTTTATTTGATGTTCATGAACTGATCAGTTGATGTAGAGAGATAGCGTTCACATATTACTTTGTCTGAGTTTAGATTACGATTAGAAAAAAAGAAGCAATTTTAAGGCCTTTGTGCCATTGGCACGAATAACCTGGTTAAAAGCAACGTTATTACACTGGTGACAGGGGTGGGATTGTATAGTAGGTATATATCGCGAGTCCCGCATTTAAAAATAAAATAACCTAGTTGAATGTTACGTTATCACACTGTATTAACTCTTCTGGACTTCAACCTGCTCTTTGAGGCTCTCTGCCTCAGAGAGCAGCTCTGGTATTTTTCATAAACTACTTGACAGTAAGAAAACAAAAAGTATGTATAGATAATAACCAATCTCAGTACGTGTATCTTCTTGCTGGTGTACCCCAAGGATCTATTCTAGGGCCGTTATTGTTCAACATATACAGGTCTCACAGATTCTCTTGAGAAATGTTCGGTTCATCTTTATACTCAAGACACCCAAATATATTACAGCTTTCCTCTGTACTTGTGTCTGAAAGTAACTTCTTTGCATGATCTACACATATTTTTTGTAAAGAGTTCATTTTGAAGTTAATCACTTATTTCTTCTTTCCTTTGGAAGACTCCATCATTTTTTGTATGAAAATAGAGCAGTGGAAAGCCATAACTGTTATTTCCCATAACAAACTGTTATATGTAACAAATAGATGGGAACGAATTAATCTTAAGATCTTTTTTTGCAGCATCTGAATGAAATTTTGTTATCAAAAATGTTTTTTTACTATTAATTCATTCATCTAACAAGTGAACAACTTTAAAATTATTGACCCAAGAACAAGTATATCACTAGAAGTGATAACACGCAGTGTTTATTATTTGTTAATTAGTATGTGTATACAACAAACTCGATGGTATTTGCCACACTCCGAAGGCTTTTTTTGTTATTGGAAGTCTACAAATAATAAATATGGCCATCTCATGAAATGATGCATACAGCTTGCAATTTGTCCTTATTCATTAATATTACTATTATAACAAATTATCACCTACTCATATATCGTACTGGATATGAAATAAACTTTCTCTAATTTGTCAATCCATAACATAGACGAACATTTATGAATGACTATTGAAAAATCTATTCCAGAAAGATAGATAAACAAAAAAAGAAGTCGAAATTGTTCAAATTATTCAGCAAGAATGAAACATAGTAATGATTATACTTAAATAAAGTTATTTCTCATGAACTATTCTTTAAAATAATATACAGAGTGTTTGTATGGAGACGTTTTTGGAGTATTTGTGTCATTAAGTTCATCAGAAACAATATAAGTGTAATATATTTGAGGGGGACTACTTTGAACGGGACAACTGATGAATGAATTAATATTTATTCAGAAAAATAAAAATTCTCCTTGTTTTCTTAAAGACAGCGGATAAACAGTAATTGGACCAGCATCATTTGTTTTGGCATCAAATGCACCATAACGTTAAACAAATATAGAACGATAAATCCACAGCAAGGATCATACGTGCATCTTATTGAAAAATGCGTATCTGACAGGATGTGAAAATGGCGTCAATCTTCTTCGACGTCAGTTAATAATGCCAGTTCCAAACTGACATTTCAGAATTTAATTTGAAAACTCTGTTCAAAATAAATTTTAAAAATATTTGCGTTTCTTTAGTGACGTAAATTCGAGATATTGCACTATTATTCCGGATAGTGTTTAGAAATGTTTTAAAAATATGTAGATAGAAATATATGCTAAATACGTATTTGTGTATTCAAAATTTTGAAAGTTATCTTCGACAATACGCTAAAGTGAACTTCAAATTGATATCGGGATAATGAATGGAAACAATGATTGTGCCAAAAAAGGCATCCAGGAAATATTTATCATTCAATTGGAACTGATCTGCCATTGGTCATCTTTGCTCAGTATGCATTTACTTGTTTTTCAAAACATGTCCCTACAGGCGTTGAGAAAACAGCGTAGAACCCGTAAACACTTCCTCGTCTATAAATCTCGAGTTTCGAGACAGAAGTCGGACTTACCGTTTCGTCAGCGTCGCTATTCCTCTCGATCAGGACCATTTTTCGATGTAAAAGGCACCGTTTGTAGCACAAAATCGACAAAAATACTCGTTTCTTCGCAAAAATCAAGCTGCATCTGCTAAAACAAACGACAAACAGCAGGAATTGAACGGAATCGAAGCGCGGCCACCGCGCTCTATGCTAGTCAGCGACTCAATGTTGATAGTTGGCTCTGGAGAAGTGGCGGCCTACTTTCCGCCAAGTGAAAGACACAAACAAGTTGTTTGTCGATGTTCTTGCGAGTGTTTCTTCTGATTTTCAAACAGTCGACGACGATGGCGAGGAATTTAAATTGCTTTTAGGTTGAGGTGGACTGCTGGCCGTGTGGAAAAATGCTCGACATCGCGTTTCGTAAGAGAAAAAGTCGCCTTCGAGTGTTGCGAACTCTTTGCGGGACCTTGCCCGAGTTTCTTCAATATTCTCTCCTGAAAACAAGCCATTTTCGATATTCAAAAAACGTGTATTCTGATTTGTTTTATGTCTTTGTTTTCCTGGATTTTTATTTTATCTCTTTTCCTAAAGCTAGACCTGTGTAACCAGCATTTTTTTTCGTTTTCATATTTTTGCTTGACCATTTTAATTTTTCCTCGCCTTCATCTGTGAAGATAGAATATTAACCAGTTTTATCTTTGTTGAGGTTCAAAGTCGATATTAAAAACACTTTTTTGAGGTTAGATTTCATTCTCCGTATTTTTCAACTTTCAGTGTGCACATATTTCCTTCGTGATTTAACTGTAGGTACGTAACTTATTGCAACATTGACATATAAGATGCCCTGGAGACTCTGAAATAAATTAATCAATGTGTATGTGTGGGAGATATAGCTTGTCAAATCTAGGTCTTCAAAGTCTCAGCATAGGACCTACTTTAAGATGCGCTTTCGTTAGGAAACTGTATGAGACAGAGACATAAAATTCTCAAGTCTCTTCCTAGTTTTGACAAGCTGTATGCAGGTTTAGATATTTCATTCCAATAGTATAACCTTTAATATTGAACTACAAATATCTTTCAAACGCTTTTGATTATTTGTTTTCGAAAGATTATTATTATTATTGTACTTACTTGGAGATTTTCACATTTGTAAATTCTACAGAACAAAAGTCTTTGTTTGATGCCAGAAACTCTCCCAGCATCAACAAGTCGAATCATCTAAAGGAACAATTCTTTCAGGCCAGTCTCAACTCTCTAGACTTTAGGTTTATGGACTGACAACTATCAGAAAACAACTACTTCCCTGGCTAATACCACAAAGGGCGTTGGATTATATCTGATAGGTGTGAGTCCATTCACCTACAGTGAACGAATTGTTCCTTTACTTCGTATAGTCAGTGGGCATAGTTGAAGACTGGCTATAATCAAATTATCTATTTAAAAAAAACTGTTTTTCAGCTGATTAAAGGAAAAAAAGATATTTTTCTTAACAGATGATTTGATTTATAGCCAGTCTTCAAGTACGCCCACTGACTATACGTGAAAAGTTTTCTTTCCTTAAACGAGGAATTGGGCAAATTTCGGACATTGTACATAGACTAATTTCGGATATGTTGTTAGTTACCTTGTTCACAGGCAGATGGGGCGATGACAAACGTGTTGTTTGTTGCTGAAGGAATTCAATTTTCAATTATCGGAAATCATAGACTTTATGTTGAGGATAGACACTACTTTACAATGACGAGAGGCCAAACAGCCCGAAACCGGTCTGCGTGTTGCAATAATTGAAAATATATTGCGGCAGTTGAATCGCCAACAGCATGAGCAGAAAAAAAACTTTCAGAAAATATTCAAAATAATTTTTCTAAATACGATATAANGCTCATTGAGGAATGCCCTATAAACAAATCTGCTTCACAAAGGAAGAGGTTGAATTTGAAAAACATTTTATTGATAACTTCAGATGTGATGCAACTGGCAGATTCATAGTAAAGCTTCCATTGCGTGATAATTATAATGAACTTGGAGATTCCGTAGAAATGGCAATACAAAGATTTCAATCACTTGAACGTAAGTTTGCAAAAAATAGTTCCATCAAGGAACAGTATTGTCAGTTCATGGACGAATACTCAAGTCTTGGACACATGTCTCCCATTGCATTCGAAAATAATAACAATTTAAAATACTATCTACCCCACCATTGCATATTAAAGGAAACATCTCTTACTACGAAACTCCGCGTTGTTTTTGACGCGTCTGCTAAATCATCATCAGATAAATACTTGAATGATATCCTTATGATTGGACCCAGAATTCAGGAGGATATTTTTTCCATAGTTTTGCGATTTAGAATCCATAATATAGTTTTTTCGACGGATATAGAGAAATGTTATCGACAAATCAAGGTTCATCCGGATCACCAAGATTTCCTAAGAATAGTGTGGAGATCCGATCCCTCAAAGCCTCTGGCGCACTATAAATTGCAGACGGTTACCTACGGTACAGGTCCGGCTTCTTGGCTACGCGATGCGTAAAACAGTTAGCGATTGAAAATCAAAACAAATTTCCTAATGCTAGTAAGTCATCAATTCAAGACTTCTACATGGATGACTGGCTTTCAGGTACGAATAGTTTCGATGAAGCTCTTGCGCTTGTTTGTGAAGTGAATTCAATTCTCAGTAGCGGTAGAAATTTTGATGTGAGGCTCCGTGAACATGTCTGTTTGGACAAAAAATTAACAATGTATGAACATCTGCAAGAATCACAACACACATGATGTGGTGCTACAGGTTTTTCCAGGTTTTCCTGCACCTGTAAAAGCAAATGCCCCACTGGAATCAATCGAGACGCCCCGGAGCGTTAATTAGTTTTTGTTGTCGTTATTGCATAATTTTATAATTTATATTACTTTACGTATAATTATACTCTGTTTATTTTAATACCACGTTTCGTGATTTCAATTGTATTTCTTGGTTTTTATACTTGATGATGGTATAAAACACAAAACCGGTCGTAAAAATAAAATAACTAGTGAAAATTTAACAAAAGTGTTCTAATTCATTTCATTAAAATGCTCAATTTTGTTTTTAAATTAAGAAATGAAACTTCAGTTTAAGTAATAATTTATATTGGAGATACATTATTCAATATAAAAATCAATAACAAAGTTCTCATCAGTAATGTCTACCATACACACTATCATACGGAAAATCACACAAATTTTTATCAGGAAATGGTACCTTTTGTTGTTTCATGATACAGAACCTCCGAAACCATAAATAGTGTTATTTTATGGAAACAAAAAATAAATCGCCAGTTTGTCAAACTGGCAATATCTGAGGCCAGATATTTTTATCATTTGTTTCTTGAAAATCACGATTTCGAATTTCGATTTAAGTTGAAATTTCGTTGAAATATAGTCGAATTTCAAGATTGGAATCATAATTACAAGACTAAGATCGAAATTTCGAATTTTAAAGCCGAAATTTCCAAGAAACGAATAATAAAAATAAGTAGCCCTTCTGCACAGACTGCATTCACATGAGTTCCCTACTTTCGGAACATATTCCAACGTTTTGGATGTACCCCACCAGGGATTCACAAAATCACTGAAAGTCACGCACTCGCGCAGTCTGTTTGTAATGTTCCTTGGCGATTCTCCTCAAACTCTCATCCATCGAGGTGCCGGTCTGCCTCACCATCTTGGCGAAATACCCGTCAGGCTTCTGAAGGAGTTTGTGCGGATGGGCGAATTCAACGATCTCGCCGGAGCTCATCACCAGAACCTTGTTGGAATCCATGATGGTGTTCAGTCGATGGGCGATGGTCAGCACTGTACATCGCTTGAAGTTTTCTCGGATGGTTTTTTGGATCAGAGAATCGGTACTGAAAACGAAAAGAGGAAAACTGGTCATATCATACATCATATCATCATATATATACATTGAAGGAAATCAACAGCGCCACTTAATCTGAACTCAACTGACTTTTTCTCACCAAGCATTAATCCTCCAAAAACGTCAATCAAATAAAATTGTATTATTTTTCTAATGGGTTCTAACAATAGAAAATGATATACATACTGAGGATCCACATTGGCTGTGGCTTCATCCAGGACCAAAACTTTGTTGTTTCTCACTATAGCTCTGGCTAAGCATATCAGTTGTCTTTGTCCTACGCTAAAGTTAGAGCCTCCTTCATTGACATTCTGATCGAGGCTCTCTATGGAACTCTTCAGTTCTACCTGTAATAAAAATAATAGTTGAAGAGTCAGTCAGACAGAAGATATTCTCCTTAGAGAATCCTTCAAAAGTAGCAATGAAGTTTGTGAGGATTCGTGTATTGTCAGTGAAATGTCCGACTTTTTGTTAAACACTGTTTTTGATAGAAGATGTTTTTGTTGGTTATTTTACACTTGAACTATTTCAAATATTAGATTTCAAAATTCAAAAACAGAAATGTTTCCATGTTTGAAATGAAACTTTCGAGTTTTTTGAAAGTTTGAAAACGACAATTGAAATGAGGTTATGTATTATTATCTTCTTCTTTTATTCGGAGGTCGTAGATATTCATAAAACAGTAACAAGCAATCAGGAAATGGATGTTTTATGATCTGTATCCATTTTGTGTTCTGTGTATCGAAGCGGACGGAAGCTAGAAACAATGAATTCATGGCATTTGCTGTAGATGTCGCCACTCACATTGAAATGAAAATTCTATCGCCAAGGCGTCTTTTCTACTGCAATTTTTCAATTTGTGTTGAAAATATACCGAAAAAGAAGAAATCTACCGCATGTGGTCATCCTAACTTGGTGACATATTCTGTGTCACACTGTCACAACTGTCACTGGCAGTAAATAAGACCTAGGCTCCTGAAGCCGTTGACCTTGACCATACACCTAGATTTGTCTGGTTGAGGGGTTGTTGGCGTGCTCAGGGTTGCCAATCTGCCAGTAATTCCTGGATTTGTAAGTAATTTTACCCTTCTGCAGTGTTTTGTGAGTAATAGCGAATTTCCAGCCCTTTGTAAGGAATCCGGCTCACCAATAGATGACATGATTGTGAACAAGAAATGGTCACACCCAGATCACATTTTTATCTTTGTTGGCCATGCAATGAATGAAGAGTAACTTAAAAAAATTTCTTTTGAAGAAAAATGTGAATAAAAAAATGGATAAATGGTTGAAGTTGAATAGCAAAGCTGGAACATCTAGAGAGGTATGTATACATTTTTTCTCTGATTCATATGACGATTGTCTAATAACACAAGTCTTTTAGGAGTCTGCCGTTGTCGAAAGCATTGAATCAAACATTACCAGCAATAGCAGTTATGAGACTAACGAAAAAATTATTTCAAGGGAAAGAAAAATCAAGAGATATCATAGATTCCGTCAAGAATGGTTAGAACTGGAATGTTTCAAAAATTGGCTAAAAAAATCTGATAAACCCAAAGATAACAATATTGAGTATGCTTTCTGTAAATTGTGTAATATGGACATATTTCCCAATAAAAATGATATTTATCGTCACAGTAAACGTGAGAAACACATTTGGCGCTCCAGGCAAGTTTCAAAATGTACTGACATTAGTGACATTGCAAAAATGGCACAAACACCTAAATTTGATGCTGTCAAATATGCAGAAATAAAACTTGCAGGTTTTGTGGCCTATTGTAATTTACCATTTACAGTAATGGATACATTGACTACTGTATGTTCAGATATTTTCAGAGATTCCGAGAGGAATTATTTGCAGTTTTAAGAAAGCCTGGAATGTTTTTTTTTCTCATTATGGACGAAACAACGGATATAGGCACAATCAATCAATGTGCCTTTTCAGTAATATTTTTTTCTGAAATTGACGATAGAGTTATCACCAAATTTTTTGATATGTTGGAGGTAGAGTCAGGAAAGGCTGATGATTTATATAAAGTTCTCAAAACATCTCTGTATAGTAAAGGCATCCCTTTTAATAATTTGGTGGGCTTTGCAAGTGATACAACCAACGTTATGATTGGAAATGAGAATAGTATATTTTCTCATTTGAAAGCTGCCGCGTGCTGCTCATTCTGATTTCTGTAAGCCAGCAGTGCTCACGTTGGCAATGTTGTTATTGGTTGTAGGTTGTATAATGGTTATAGGGAGTGCAAAATAAAATTTTTCTACAATTCTCAAAGCAACCTCAAAGGCAACACAGAATCAAAGTGACACACTTATCGTGTTAACCACTTGGGCTTCTGGAACGTTCTTCAAAATAGGAAATGCACTAAAAAATACTGTGTACTCACATTTTCCAAGGCCTGCCAAAGTTGTTCGTCACTAACGTTGCCGAAAGGGTCCAAGTTGTACCTTACGGTTGCCGAAAAAAGCACCGGTTCTTGTGGGATTATGGATATTTTGGATCTCAGATCACTCAGTCTTACTTTGGCAGTGTCCACACCATCAATTGATATGGTGCCTTCGATAGGGGTTAATCGAAACAAGGCCGAGATTAGGGATGACTTTCCTGCTCCTGTTCTACCAACTATGCCTACCTGCGAACAAAAGTTATTGTTATATTTGTGAACTACATTAGATTCTGACAGGACACATTTTTGCTTTCCTCTTCGTAGCTTTCAATTTTACCTTGCTACCATCTGTTGGTACCTAAATGTATCAGCAATTTTGATAGAGACTATAGAGTCTATGCAGATGCCATCATTCTCTATAAGTTGTTTTATATTAAATTATTTGAGGGCGGCAATTTATATGAATTGCACTGTAAAATAGTGTGGAGTTCAACTGAGGAAGCTACTATCATAGTGGAAATGAAATCTATATTGTGGAAATATGTATAATCACTATCATGTTCACTAATTGAACAACTATGGCACCTATAATTGAATAGTTCAAATGGAGAGCTGAAAAAATTGGTTTATTTGGTTATGCGAAAGCTCTGTTCAAAATTAGTGCAGTGCGAGCTCACAATCGAACAAAAACAAAAAATAAATTGAGAATTCTGAGCAGTGTTCCGCTATAATCGTTGTATTTTCCTCGAAGGCACTATATTGAATAATACAATCAAGTTTTATAAGAATGTTTTTTTTTCTATGTTAGGCTACAAACATTTCTGCCCAACTGTTACCTTCTCCCCAGCTCCGATCACCACATTCAGATCCTTCAACACAGGCTGGGCATCAGCGCCGTACCTCAGGAACACCTTCTTGAAGCATATTTTCCCTGACTGCGGCCAGTTTTTGTCGGGATTCTTGTAGGTGAGCTTCGCGTAGTGAGCCCAATCCTCGCTCATGATCTTCTTCGGTTGAGGCTGCTCTGCGTTGACCTCCGGCTCCACCTTGGTGTACTGCAGAACCCTCTCGACGCTGATCATGTTGCTGGCCACTTCGGCCGTCTGTCTCACGCCGATCTGCAGCATGCCGCTGAGGATGAGGCTCTGTGAGATAACCAGACCTACGTCGCCACTGGTGTCGGCTTCTGCAAATGAGTTTTTATAATGTGTTGAAAATCTTCACTTTACTGCTTGTATTTCACACTATTCATTATTCAATTGCAACGACATTTCATTCATATATTTTTCCAACAGTGGAAACCGTACAACATCAAAAGAAAATGTCACGATCTGATCCAAAGCTTTCCAGCACTTAACTTCACATTCTTAAAAACGTCTTTAAATTAAAATGATATAAACTTTTTGCGATTCATTGAAAGTTTTTGCCTGTCTAAATCATGAAATAATACTACTACTCCACAAGCCTAACGAATTTAGGGGTTCAACAGTGTTTTGCTTCCCACTGTAACTTTCTGAACACTGAAATCAAAACATTTTGAATGCAAGTTGAGTAATACCTTGAATATATATTTAACAAAACTACCGAATGTTTCATTTGTATATTTTGAATCACTTTTTATACACAAAAATATCACTTCTATAAACAATCTCCTCTTATCTTGTGTCTTATGATTTTCGTATTCCCAATTTTTTTCCAGTCCAAATCATTCATTTCAAAATATATGTATGTTAAAAAAACCTACAAATTAAGTCATTTGTGACTGTAATAGCTTCATAGCTGTCTTGTAGGCGTTGAAAATCAATAAATTCGAATTTAAATTAAAATATTCTTTGAATGGTTGTAAGTTGATGTCACCTGGTGACATCTTGTAATGAGAAGTTGAAACTTGGCACACTTTCAAAGCAACCAAAATTTACAGGAATCTTTAATTTCCGTTCTTTTGCCATCTTGTAACGAATGCTTGAACACAAAATTACAGGTTTCTTTCTTTTTTTTTTCGAATAACGACATCTTACGGCAGATAGCAACACTATAATTCAGATTTTTTTTCTTTTATAGTGTCCTGTAATGAGAATCAACCAAAAATTACAGGAATCTTTAATTTTCGTTCTTATGCCATCTTGTAACGAATGCCTGAACACTAAGTTACAGGTTTCTTTCTTTTTTTTTCGAATAACGACATCTTACGGCAGATAGTAAATCTATAATTCTGTTTTTTTTAGTGTTCTACAAATTTCAATTGATCTTACAGATTTCTTCGGTTTGAGATGCGTCATCTTGTAGGGAATATACGAAACTTGATTCACAAAATCCTTATTCAACCATTGTGTACTGTATGTCTTTCAAAGTTAAATCCAGACAATGGTTAAATGGTTAGTCTATATACAATGGTTAAATCATATATGAATTTGTGACATATTTTAGTGAATATAAATAAAAAAGCCTTCTTTCAATAAAGAGTGTGTCGTATTTGAATAGGACATGAATGTATATCATTATTGATATTCAGACAATGATTATACTTGAAGAAAAATATGTTTTCACTGGAGAGAAATGTAATGACTCACCTGTTTTGAAGAGAAGAAACTGAAAGGTCACAAGGGCTATGAAAAGAGTGCTGATGATATCAAGGTAGTATCCGAAAATTTCACTTAATTTACAGGTATCTTTAATTTCCGTTCTTTATGCCATCTTGTAACGGATGCCTGAACACTAAATTACAGGTTTCTTTCTTTTTTTTTTCGAATAACGACATCTTACGGCAGAGAGCAACTCTATAATTCTGATTTTTTTTATAGTGTTCTGTAATATAAATATGTTGATAAACAGTGTTCTACAAATTCCAATTGATCCTACAGATTTCTTCGGTTCGAGATGCGACATCTTGTAGGAAATATACGAACTTGATTCACAAAGTCCTTATTCAACTTGTATACAGAATGTCTTTCAAAGTTAAATCCGTAGACAATGGTTAAATGGTTAGTATATATGCAATGGTTAAATCATATATGAATTTGTGACATATTTTAGTGAATATAAATAATGAAGCCTTCTTTCAATAAAGAGTGTGTCATATTTAAATAGGACATGAATGTATATCATTGTTGATATTTAGACAATGATTATACTTGAAGAAAAATATGTTTTCACTGGAGAGAAATGGAATGACTCACCTGTTTTGAAGAGAAGAAACTGAAAGGTCACAAGGGCTATGAAAAGAGTGCTGATGATATCAAGGTAGTATCCGAAAATTTCACTGGTGGCTATATACATAAACCAAGTTCCAGTGTGCTGATCTTGTAGTGAATCAAACTCTAAGATGACCATCTTCTGAGCCTTGGAAGCTCTTATGGTTGGCATGCCATACAGAGATGCCAAGATGTGCGAAAAAACGGGAGCTCGGTCTGTGGAAAATTAAAAAAGGTCAGTACCAAAGATAACGACAAAAAAATTGAAAGAAGACAAGACACTGGTGTCACTGTCAACCATATTATCAGAGAAAAATAAATGTACAACTTCAATTTTATTCAGACACTGAAGATAATAAAGTCCAATGCCAATTTGGCAACCTCAAGGCCCCAGTATGAGGACTACTCTGTCTTCTTGATATACAGGAATAATTTATTATATATCATTCTCAGCTAACCTTTACGAAATTTTACTTACTGACTCCTTCCAATCTTTTAACGTCCTGAGCTGTTTTGATGTAAACCACCCTCACGAAATAGAATAGGAAGCCCATAAGGGCAGCTGGTACTACCATCCAAGGCGTTACTATAAAGACGCACATGAGAATACCTGCCATCACAAGGAGTACTTGGATGGCTTCTAAAGAGGCTCTAGGAAGCAGTTCGTCAATTATTCCCATGTCGTTGGAGAACCTGCTGAGGATCCGCCCTAAAATACGAAAAGACTATTTCAGCGATGTTTCAAATTATGCCCAATAATTTCTTCAGATCATTATAATGATCAGTCAACTCAGTTCAAGACTTCATTACAAAAAAGCATTCAAACTGTATTCAGTAATTACTTATTCAGTGGGCTGGAAATATGTATTATTATTAATATTATTTTTACCAGAGGGATTTGTGTCGAAGAATCTCATAGGCGCTGCCAAAACATTTGTAAACATCCTGTTGTGTAAATTCTTGGAAGCTCTCATGAAAATCTTGTAGAAAAGGACCGACCTGGCAGGCGTCAACAGAATAGAGGCCAACATAAAACCTGAGTAGACGATAATGTAGTATTCCTGACGCTCGAACGGTGTCAGAGGAGGTGCTGTAACGTTTTGGTAACCCAAAAGTATTTCAGTTGTAGTATCTTCTTGATCTTCCAACTTGTAGATTTGTTTTGAGCTCAGTTCAACTTTTGATATATTACCGGAAGGGTCAGTGATGTTGGAGGACAGGCTTTCAGCAGTATTTTGGGTGACTGATTCCATGTTGGTCCTACAAGACACCATGTTTTTGTGTTAAAAAGACTGTTCAGTGGAAATCTTACAATAGTGTTACTTGAATATGAAACCTAGATGTCACCCACTCACTATTTTTATGATAATTTTAATAGTTGTCTCTTCAAACAACGCTTTTTCTTATTCCTCTTCAAACAACGTTTTCATTCTTTCCATTAAAGTTTTTGAAAAGAATATAGTTTATTTAAAAATGAGGGGTTAACTGCAATTTTCGAATAGACAGCGCCATCTTTCAGTTAGTAGTCAAAGTACTCGTGCGTACTAATGAGATTTTTAGCGTCAAGAGCAAACAGATAACTGCTTTCAAGACATAAAAACTGTTCAATAGGACGTTAAGAGGTGGCTATGAGAACATAAGCAAATTCTAAAATTTTCACACATATAATAATCCACAAAAAAAGTATGAAGATGAAATGAATTAAACGCTCTCTTTCAGAAATTTCAATAGAGAAAAAAATTGTTTTGGATACTTCAGTTCATCATTTTACAGTATCTGGAAGGTATTGTGAATGACTTTTCATGTTGGTCCTACCAGAAATCATTTTGTGTAAGTATTGGAAAAATTGGAAGAGTTCCTCCTTCATTAAAATGTACTCACCAATATGTCACCCACAAATCACAACCGTTAGAAGCGATCTGTGCGGCGATCAGTAGGAATAACAGCGACAGCAGAATGAAAAGACCAGCTCCATTACGGTAGTATTCCCAGTAGCTGGAAACAGGAATGGATCCGCTACCCATGGCTTCTACACTCTCTTCAGGTTCTTCGTTTTCGGTCAGGTGTTCCTACAGATAGTTATAGAAAATAAAAAAAGAAGATGAACTTAGCAAATGTTAACAACTTGAAATCCCACGACTCAGGACCAATTTACACATAAAAGTTCTTGTTTGTCCCTGTCCCAATTATAGTCTCAAAAATAATTTCGATGTATGTGATTCGAAAAAAAAACATTTATACAACGTTTCATATCATTGGATTCGTGTTTGTCCTCATCGATGACCAATAAGATAACGTTAATATTAAGCGTGTTCACAGACAGGTACTACAACTATAAAAACCGGTTCATGAGTGAATCAATTCAGTTAGCTGTTTACAGCTGATGGTTGATAGTTTGGAAAACAATGTAATTTTCAAGGTTCTAGAATTTATTATTATATAAAAAAGTCTATATACGAGCCACATTTGTTGAAATTGATTCCCATTGGAACAGTGTATGTTAAATGACATAAGTCTCAACTCATAAACTAGACATAATGGCTAAACTAAAAATTTTTCAAGATAAACACAATTGAAACAAAGACTAAGATGTCTAAACTGGAATTTACGACTCACGAAACACGAGCTATGCATGAACTTTCCTTTGTTTATTCATTTCTATTTCATTAGGTGAATTTCTTGTTATTACCTGAATATTTTCGATTCCAGATTTTTTTCTACTATCAGCATCATTGCTTTCCTCTGAAGCTGGTTCAGCATAAAGAGTAGACAGATCAGTTTCTGATATATCTTTGTAGGTGCCGATTCTCTGAATCTTCCCCTGAAAACAATAATTATAAAATTATCCTAGAAACTATACAATATATTGTCGACTTCAAGATACTATCTGATGAACATAAATGGAAATTGATGCTGGACAATAATACTGTATAGAGAATACTTCAAAACATACAGCATTCAAAAAAGCAGTTTTGTAAAATCTCAAATATAGTGTTACTGAAAATGAAACCTTAAGGTCGCTCACTCAGTCGTAATAAAAAATTTGTATCTTTCTGTAGTCTATGAATATTACGTTGTTCATCCGTTAACGGGGGACATGAGAGCCTCATTCGACAGAGTGTCGGTGCCTTCTTTATCGGGAGGGATCGTCTACAGCATAATCTATAGCTTCCCTAACTTACAGAAAAATATAGTTCAATCATAGTATTCTTTATACTATGATTTAATAGAAATAATGAAGTTTCAAACATACAGCGCCATCTTTGAGTCAGTAGTCAAAGTACTCATCTGTACTAAGGAAATTTCTGTTAGTGTCTGAACCAAACAGAAAACTGCACTCTAGGTATGAAAACTGTTAAAAGTTCAAAATGACGTTAAGAGATGGCAATTTTCACATATATAAAAGTCCACAAAAAAAGTGGGAAGAGGAAATGAATGAAACAATTTTTGTGAAATTTCAAGAGACATAAAAAATACTTTAGGATACCTCAGTATATATTTTATAGTACCAAGATTATTAATATATTGATGTGGATATCAGAGTTGATCTATGGAAAAACCAAATGTGTAATCTGCACAAGTACCTAGTTGAACCACTTGAACCGTCTTTATTTACCCTAAAATTTGAATTTTAATTCGTCTACTAGGAAATACCCACCTTGTCAATGATCACAATTAAATCTGCCTGTTTAAGAACCTGCAACTGATGCGTCACCAAAATTCTCGTCTTGTTCTTCAGATAGCCTTTGATGCACTCTTCGAACAAGTGTTTCCCCACGTGGGTGTCTACTGCGGACAAAGGATCGTCGAACAAGTAAACGTCAGCGGTGGCATATACAGCTCTAGCCAAGTTTATTCTAGCTCTTTGTCCCCCACTTAGGGATACTCCCTTCTCTTCGACGAGGGTTTTGTCTCCGTGGGGAAACTGCGAGATGTCGGTTTCCAAGGCACAGACTCTTACGACTTCTTCGTATCTGGAGCAAGAAGAGAAATCTATTTATTTGGTCTGAAATGAGGAATTTATTGATGAAATTTCGAAAAATTTTAAGAATGTCATAACCATATACCCATGATTCGTCACCAGTTATGACCATCTTGAGAAAATTCCTGAGCGATGCTCCTGCGACGATTTTTATTATGAATTCTCAGATCATCATGTTCTATTTGGTCTCCAATTCTCCATAACAATTTTCGAAGTTGCCCATGAGAATTTCAGCAAGAAGATAGCTTAGAGGATTACCCATCAAGAGGTCTTCTTTGTTGTCATATACTCATGATGCTAATGATTTGATTATAAGTTTGGTCTAGACATTTTGACTATAATGAAAGGACATCCCAATGAATTGATGAGTTTCTTTGCCTTTTTTAATAGCATTTCATCTATAACAGAGAGTTACTCAGTGTGTATTAATGATTTTATGAATCGGTTTTTCATTTCGCGGAGTCACTATGTGATTTTGCGTTATTGACCTTTGAATTATCACAAAATCCTGTTGTACTTACCTTTGCTTAATATAGGGCTTTCCGAAAAGAATATTATCCCTCACGCTGGAAACAAACAACCAAGGTTCCTGGGACGCGTACGAGATTTCTCCAGAGACATCGACTTTTCCGCAATTTAGCGGTAACTCTTTGAGCAACACATGAAGTAGAGAAGATTTTCCGCTACCTATAACAGGTATAACAGTTTACTACTGAATTTCAAGTTTTTTCTAAGGCAGATTCAACAATGGATCTGAACGAGGAACAATATAAAACGTTTGGGGTTCCCAGAAAGCATGAAATGAAGCTTTTATAATATTATACTCGAATCTTTACATTTAACATTCCTTTCAAATACCAAGTTGATCAACTGATCATAGTCAAAATAATTTGGGGAACTATGATCTACTGAAAACCGTAGAGAAAACGTATACAGTGCATTTCAGTTGGAACGAGACATCCTGAATCAATCACCTACTGTTGGGGCTGTAAAAAAAGTTGTTAAACAACTTTTTGTCAGATTCCCCCTCTACACAAGGAACCTTACATTTAAAATTTCAAATAGAAATAATAGTGACAACCAACTGTTACTTCATCGCAATCTCTTTACTTTCCCAGGCTTGTCCTTTAATGACAAATGAGTCCAGCAATGCATTCGTTGTTCAGCCTAGTACCACTGATGGTGCTAGGCTGAACTATGGCGGGTCGGTACAGCATCGTCTTTTGTTGGATCAAGAATGGTTTGTTTTCGTGTTTCGATAAAAAATTCTAGTTAAAACAGTTTTATACTCACCAACGCTACCAACCACGCAACAGAGCGTTCCAGGGGGTATGTCTAAATTGATATCTATCAAAGTATCTGCTGCCAGGCTCCAGCTGGCAGTCGCTTTCTCCATCTTTACCCTTCCAGGTTTGTCAGCAGATACCGTGCCTGAAAAATTCATTACTGTCATTCTGGCTAAAGCTGAAACACCCCGTATAAACTGACTCAAGGGCACAGCATTGGTAATTTTAGTACTTTTGGGGATATGAAAGTATTCAACAGTTTTTTTAACAGGGTAATAATTGAGTTTTGAGAGATGAACAGGAGAAGAACTCCCATTTCATTATTACAATCAGTATTTTGAAAAAATGTTTTTTTCTTAGTAGGTGCTCAAAGGCGCAATTAGGTTTTGCTGCCCGTCATTGTAGTCGTTTAATTTTCAATGGAAATAATTTCATTTGTTGATTTCAAACGCACCATTTTCGATATTTCTCGGTTCATTTGAAAAACGTATTCAATACAATTTCCGCTACAAATCTTGTTAGAATTCGTTGTTGTGGTTAGTCAATATGAATCGACAACACCAATAACGTGAAACACAGTTACGAGCCTACAAATTTACTTTCAGTTCCGTCTAGATTTGTTCGCTTTCAATAATTTCCAAATCCTTCGATTAATTTGACTCCCATATAATTTTCACGTGCGTATATCGGAATACTTGGCAAGGTCTCGTATGGAGTCTGTGATAAACTTCAAAATAGCCCAGAACGGTAATTAACGTGGCCTCGCTAATTACGAAATTATTTTCTATTCGTGTTTTATCGAAAACAGTTACTATTTCGAAATTATTTACACACGTTCAGGAGATATCGTTGTTCTGGCTGAAATTGATCAAAATATATTGACAAATATAAATGCAAGCTAAAATATCGTACATATAAATCAGGTAAAGCCAGGGCTGACCTGATATTATATTTGAATTTAAGACTGATTCATTTTAAAGCAGCAAATGCGATCCTTTGTTCATTGACGAAATACTCTTGGAGAGATTCATCGGCGTTTGTCCCTAGACGCCTGAAGCATTCATAAGCATTTCAAATCAAGACCTTGTTGTAAAGATCCAGTTTGGACTCAAAGGCTGCGGGATCCAGGTGAGACCACAGTCTATCGGAAAACCGAGGTACTTTACCTGCGTCTGCCAGTCGATGCCCTCCAGAGACCTACACTTTCATGGCCAGAGAAAGTATCATTCTTTCCATGGTTAGGTTAGGTTAGGTTAGGTTAGGTTAGACCTTCACTTTCATGGCCAGAGAAAGTATCATTCTTTCCATGGTTATTGCCTGAGCTTTATTCGGGTTTACTCAGATCTTCCAACTGAGGTACCAGCTCTCGAGGTCGTCCAATGCGCGATGCATATAGACGACTCCGAGCTCACGACCCATGGAAGATGCGAGTAGATCCGTATCGTCGGTGTACACACGCTTGAACCCCAAAAGGCCGCTGGTATAGAGGGAATAGAGCGTGAGAGAGAGCACAGGGTCCTCTGTGGCACTCCAGCGTGAATCTCTCTGACAGGGACCGCTCCACTCTGACCTGAAATATCCTACCCAGATCCACCGGATCAGGTCCCGAGGCAGGCCGAACTAAAGGAGCTTGTGGAGAAGGCCTTTGAGCCATTGTACGTTCTTTTTGTTATTGAGCTCCTTAATGGTGTTTTCGACCAGTCTTAGAGCCTGTAACTCAGTGGAGTGATCCTTCCGGAAACCGAATGGCTTGTCAGGCAGAACTTTTCGGTCCTTGAATTCTTCTTTGAGCCAGACTGATCGGGCGATGGTTCTGTGGGAACAATGGGTCCCGATCCTCTTTTAGAAGCATCACAACAACCCCATGCTTCCACCTCTTGGGAAAGTACCTGAGGGCCGGTGAGCTCTTCCACAACCTATTGGTTATTGAGTCGAAGACTTCTCAGCCTTTGAGGCTTTGATACACCCTTTCAATTTTTCGACAGAAACTGGGCGGATGTTGTCATCGTCATCTTCTGTGAGAAGGGCAGACCCGTTTTTCCAACATATGGCTGACGACAAACCCAAACCTCAAACTGTGTAGTATACGCTGTGTAAATGAAACGTCAAGCATAAAAACGAGCTGTCCAGGGCCAAAGAACCGGTTAAATAGTTTTAATGCAGATGATTTACTAGTACAAGGCAGAGGCGGAACTCAAACAACAAAAGTACCTTTTTGTCTTACCGTTGAGCACTGCTGTGGTGCTTTGTTCCTCCAAGCCGAGGAACTCCTCCAACCTGCCGATCGACACCTTGGCTTCTGCGTAAGTGGCCAGACCATTCGGATACGCTATGCAGATGTAGAGCTGCGCAGTGTTGAAGAGCTGCGCCATGGAGAAGACGATGTCGCTCGTTAGTCTGTTGCCCAGCAGAACGAACGTCACGATGGTTAGGTAGAGAGACAGTCTCTCGGTGAAAACCATCATGGAGAGGGAGAGGGCTTTCACGTACGAGGTCTTAGAGACTTCTTTTATTTCTTCTCTGTTGGAAAAGGAAGTGGTATTTTGAAAAAGAGGTTTGTACTATGATTGACTGATTTTTATTTCACGATTGATTCAACTTCTTTTCAATATATTTTGATTCGTTATTTTTGGAATACTTTATTATGTGAACGTTTGGTGCGGTAATATTACAGCATAGTTGGTTAACGATAAAATTTAGGGACACTAGATTGGTGGCAAATAAGAAAACAGTTTTCTTTTTATTTTATTACTCATTAAAATCATTTGTGGACCTCGAGATACTGATGAGTCAGTAGATCATGATTTGGTAAGCTAACATATGTTAATGAGGATGATTGGAGTGGTGACTGATAGTTCTGTCTGTATGGGTTGATTTGTGGTGAATTGTGAAATTATGTTTATTGTTGATTTTTGTAATTGTGAGATCTAAAAAGTTTATCTAATCATTGGTTTCTACTTCTATCGTGAACTTTATATTTTCGTGAATGTAGGAAGCAATAACATCGTCAACATATGTATTCCAATTAATACATTTTTGGAAAACTGCACATTGTTGAATAGTTTGTTCGAAGTTGTACATGAAAATATGGTGTTGTTGAGTTCAAAATAATTTTGGTCCAGACATAAGTGAAAGGATATCATAATGAATTAAGGGGTATGATTTTTGAATAGCATTTCATCTATGAGTTTACAATATGAGTTTGTAAGGTTCTTGTGGAGGAATGCTTGAAAATAGATTTGGGACATCGAACAAAACCAGTTTTCAATAAAGTAGAAGGTGAATATTGGAGATGTTTTTATCAGTTCCTGCAAATTTTTGATACTGAACGAAAATGAGAATTGGGTGTGGTTTTAATGGTGTCAGGAATTTGAAAATTGTATACGATGGTGCTGTTAAGAATGATACTACTGGTCTGAGGGGATGAAATTCAATAAATGAATACAGTTGTGGAGTTTGTGGATTGTACATGATGTATTGGGATCTGTTTTCAGGTTTGATGAGGAAAGTAGCTTGTTGTAAAAGTAGTAAAATACGCCCTACTCAAGATTCAAAGGTTGAATCACATCTGGCCAAGTTGATGGAAGCGACAAAGTTGGAAATATGCAAAAAATCTATCAATTTCAACAACCCTTAGCAATTTTTATTGTAAATTCCAACTATTCTTACCCTGTATGATATATAATAAATTCACATTGAGTTAAAAAAAACATTCCTTAGGAAATTCCTTATTGCTATGTGCAATAACATTATAAATTTTCTATATAAATGTAATATAATTAGCAATAACCAACACGGATATTTACGAGAGAGATGAACAAACAGTGCAATATTTCAATTAACTCAAAATATAACAAACTTAATGGAAAGAGAATACTTAGCACTTGGTATGTTCTTAGATCTGTCAAAGGCATTTGACTGTTTGAATCACGAGATACTTATAAAAAAAAACTAGAACTATATGGTATAAGAGGAAACTCACTGAAATGGATTGAATCTTACCTAACAGATGGCCAACAAATAGTAACTATTAACGAACATAGTCGAACATACAAATCTGAGAATGCGGCAGTGAAAGTAGGAATACCCCAAGGAAGCATTGCGGGCCCTTTGTTATTTATTATCTACATAAACGATTCATGTTATCATTCAAACACACATAATTCAATTACAGTCTTTGCTGATGACACTAATTTATTAATAGGCCGTGAAACATACCCTGAAGTAGTAAAAACAAGTATGGAAATGTTTAATGATACAAAAGAATGGTTCAGNCCAGCCTTTACATATTTCTGGAAAATTTCTGGGGTTACCCGCAAATGAAATAAAGTATCATAGTGATAAAGCACAAAAATTGGAAAGTCAGAAGAGACATTTAATAAAAAATAATGGAAGCTGAAACTTTGTTTCAGAAAAATAAGAAATAAAAAAAAATACAGAGTAACACGGTGAAACATTTAAGAAATAACTATTAAAAGTATGATATTTGAAAAGAGAAATATTAAAAATTATTCAAATTGAAGCATAAAATTTGTCACCATGATAGTAATGAAGTAAGTCATTAACAGTAACATTAAGGAGAAAAACAAAAAGAATCTCAAGAAAAAATATCAAAAAAAAAAAGTAATGAATCAGAAGTAAAAATATAAGAAATACAAACTCAGGTTGAGAGTAAAAAAGTAAAAAATGAGAAAAGAAGTATGAGAATCAACACGTAAGGAACAGGAATAAGAAGAGGAGTAGGAAAAAAGTTGAAACTTGAGAATAAATGTAAAAATGCAATATAAACGAAATTTCATAATACATCATCCAAACCATGGTGATAGACATAAACAAATATAAATTTTTAAATTCGAACAGAAAGATCAGGTCATTGCTGAAGACTCAATATCATTGATGTTAACTGAATTGCAATTAAACTTTACAAGCATCAGTTCAGGAGAAAGTAGTTATACAGAAGTAATAACACAGTTTCTTAGTTCAAGTACAGCAAATAAATATGATTTTGTTGCTATTTCAATTATTATTATATTCCATCCACAGTTATATTGCCACAGGGCAGTTTTAAAATTTGATATTTCCTGAATTTCCATATTCGATAATGTTGGCCAGAAATTATTGTTGTGAGTTCAAATGCCGATTTAATTTTTTTTAATTTTTCATCTGTTTTACTGTCAACTATATTTATTGATTTATTTTTATAATGTCTTTCATTGAGCGACGCGAAACCAACTGCCTCGCATTCTCCTGCACACCCTCACAGAGAGTGGCCATGTTTTCGGCTGATTTTGCGTTTCGTCAACGTACGAATGTTGGTCGATCCTTTACTGAACCAGTAGACTCAAATTTATCGATCACATGTGAATATTCCTCTCGGTAGGACGATTATGGCGACCGTTTGATAAAACAATTTTATTATTTGCACGTGTTCTTTAAAGCTATATCCTTCCATGGTGATTTGGCAAAAGAGACTGATTAAATGACAACTAATTTGACATATGTAGCTTCAACAAGATGACCATTATCAATTGTCAAAGTTCGAAAGTCCCTGTTGGAATGTAACAATTTCACATTTATGGAAAATTTCGTATTTTGGAAAATAGGGACTAGCTAGCTGTGTAATATTTCCAAAGCCATTACGCATATTTCTTTTTTGAACTTGGCAGCTTGGTAGAAATGATGAAAACTTACTTCAAAATGATGACCTGTATGAAGAAATATATTCCGTATAAAGAAAAAGGCTTCACGAATGTCTTGAATATGGCCTTTTTGAGGCTGGGTTTTTTATTTTTCTTTGAAACGGATGCTCTCTTTAATTCTGCTTCCCAATTTCTGGAAATATAAAAATCATCAAGTTTGCAAAAATCCCTCCTGTAGTTGTACTCACTTTTCCAGTTCGTCTGCTAGTTTACCACATTGGTCCCTGGATGTTGCTTTGTATATATCTTTCAACTGGAGGTCGTTTTTGTAGCCATTTTTGAAAAATGGAAGTATCCAGCTGGAAAAAATGAAAAATCCAAGTCGAATCAGTGTTTTAGCTTTACCTATTTTAAGATCTGCCCTACTACTTAGTCTATTGAAGTTTTTCCTTTGAATTGTCTGAAATACTAATCTGAATTTGGAAACTCCAAACTCTCCTAGTTATCATTTGAATTTTATTATAGTTTAATTTGACACGTGACTTCAAAACCCATATTATTTGGTTGCGTGTTACCCTCTACCAAATAAAAGTAGCATAAAGTAGCATCAAATAAAATTATACCTTTGAATTGTCTGAAATACTAATCTGAATTTGGAAACTCCAAACTCTCCTAGTTATCATTTGAATTTTATTATAGTTTAATTTGACACGTGACTTCAAAACCCATATTATTTGGTTGCGTGTTACCCTCTACCAAATAAAAATAAAAATCAGCATCAAATAAAATTATAAGAAATTCTCGTTATTTAGCACGTCAGACCCAGATAATAAACAAATAGTGGTTTCATTTATTTACGTGAACCGAAACGAAGCAAACAGATGAGAGGAAATACCATCGCAGGTTCCTATTCGAGACCTTGCAAGGCCAAGACTTGAATGCTACTACTTGATCTTGAGCTTTGCGAAGACACCAACGAAGTCGTAACCTGTTTATGAAATAGTTCGAGGCCAACGATTGTCAATGGAATAGTTCCAAAATTGGTGTTGAAACAATTCAAAAAGTATTATTTTTTCCTATTTAGGTAACTTGGTCAAATTCAGCTTTTTTCAATAATTTCTTGCTCTTAATTCCAGAGCAACATACCAGGGTGGGATGAAAAGTTCGTAAGCTAACACACAGATGGAGTCACTAGTATTGAATACATATTATTTTAAGTTAAGCCTAAACTTCAAAAGACACGTGTACAACATTCACAGCTGTCGGACTATTAATTTGTGGGACGAAACATTTTGAGTGAAGCAACTTTTGTTAGTTTGAAGAAAATGGATAAAATGGAATGTCGTGTGTTAGTGAAGTATTGTTTTTTGGCGAAAAAAAAAATACTGTAGAACTTTACACCAGAAAATTCAACGGTTGAGAAGTGGTTTGCTGAGTTTAAACGAGGTGCAATGATCACAGAGGACGATGCACGCGGTGGACGACCCAAAGAGGCTGTACCCGACGAAAACATCAAATAAATCGACAAAATCATTTTCGATGACAGCAAAGTGAAGTTGGTCGAGAAAGCTTAATCTCAAAGAAACGTGTTGGACATTACATGTAGATGGCTCCACTCTACTACTAAAAGCTAAAGATCATGAATCACTACAAGTAAAAGTTACAAATCAGTCAACCAGTTATCTTCCGCGCAAGCTCATAATCGGCCAAGTGAGCAGTGTTTCAAGCTGTTCCTCCATGAAAAACCCGAATTTATGACTCGATATGTGACTATAGATGAAACATGGCTCCATCATTTTACACCAGAATCAAAACGATTATCATCGGAGTGGACTGCTCGTGATGACCTGACTCCAAAGCGTGTAAAGACATAACAGTCGGCTGGCAAAGTTATGATATCAGTATTTTGGGATGCACATGGTATAAAATATTCATCAACTATCTTGAAAATGAAAAGAACATCAACAGCGACTAATACATAGCGTTATTGGAGCATTTGAAGGACGAAATCGTGGAGAAACGGCCCTATTTGAAGAAAAAGAAAGTGCTGTTTCATCAAGACAATGCATCAAGTCAATGAAAACGATGGCAAAGTTGCTTGAATTGGGCTTCGAATTGATTCCGCATCCACCATCCTCCGTATTATTCAGATCTGGGCCCCCAGCGACTTTTTTCTGATCTCAGACCTCAAAAGAATGCTCGCTGGAAAGAAATTAAGCGTTGATGAAGAGGTAATCGTCAAAATTGAGGCATATTTTGAGGCTATAAAGACCAATCGTACTACAAAAATGGTATCGAAAAATTGTATGGCCCGCGACTGTATCGAATAATTACTTCAAATTTTGTAATTTTTTTTTCTATGTTAGCCTACGAACTTGTCAGCACAACTGTTCATTGAATATTCAGAGCGCGGACACTCAATAAAGTTATATGTTGACGTTTTGCTGCGTTATTTTCAAGCGGGTTATTCCAAAATACTTCAACGATGTATTCTATTAACTGTTTTTCTGAAAATCCTATGAACATATCGATGGTGAAAAAATCCGTGTTGCACAATTGGGAAATACTTCCATTGTAGGTTATATTTTCCGAAAATCCCAAATTATGGATTTCTTATCCTTTTCATTATTTTTTGTATTTTCTCCTTGCACAATCTTAATGTTTTGGAAACACAAAAACTGTTTGTCTTCAGACTCCGTATGAAAGGTTTATAACATGTAGTAATTCTTTGCCTTCGACTTCAGCTTTAACTTGAAAATCGAAAAAAAAAAGTTCAATCAAACTCGAAGAAGTAAAAAACTACTACATACTAAGAATTTTGAAGGCGGAGGATGATTTTCTCACCATTCACTCTAAAATGCCTGGTTAATTTTTCGGGCTGCGCTTTGGTTCAATTTGAATTCGTAGAAAAAAATGACTGAAAACCGCTCAACGACATCATATAGTAATTGAAATTTGGAAAAAAATCAACAGCACCAATGCATAGAGTACAAAATTCTCTATTGATGAGATTATAGGTACCACCACACTGTAGAAAAAAAATTTAATTTGAGATATGGAGCTCCAAAAACATATGACATTAAAACAGACAAAACTTTTGGAACAACCTAATGAAATACGAAAATTAAACAATGAAAACAACGCGAAAGAAAAGATATAGATGAGTTTTATATAAGTTACAGTGAAATTATTCATAAGATAGTGAAATCATATAAAACATTGAAATTTGATTTTGATTTTACTTTGAAAAAAATATGAGGCTTTAACGGTATTAATAAGAAATGCATCTGAGATCCGCCAAAACTGAAATATTACTCTTTTCACGTTAGTTCTATTTCATTAGAAAATCATACTATTGATACGGGATGTGAACTCACCAGAAAAATATCTTTGACAGTATATTTGCGGAGTCTTCTGGGGAAGGATTGTCGTATTTTTTGCTGGAATCCATAGAGTCACAGTACCCAGCTAGGGTGAGTCTTTAAAATACAGGATATTCTCGAAGAACAAAAAAAAATACTACATGATCAGTGTTCGGGAAAATACAAAATCCACCACGGCCAACCGCGACCGACTTGTATTACCGCTCGAAAAACAACTGCAGGTGCAACGATCGTCGAGTGAATGAAAGTCTGACATCAGACCTGTTTATTGGGTTTACCGGGATTTTGGCATTTCGTTTTTTCACAAGACTAGTCCTCGTTGTCGGATGCATTCGGTTCAGAGGCTTCTCATCGCTTCTTTCGGAATGACTGGGAGTTGTTTTTTTTCGATATTTGAAATTGAGTTCGAATATTTTACTGAGTCGAATTTCTCTTATAAAACAAAAGAAAATGTAAGATTCCTGTAGTTTTTTTGAAAGTATTTTTTCTTTCATGTAATTCAGTGTTTTTATGAAAATAGTTGTTTTGAAAAGGCTTTTTCTTCCAATTAGTGTTGATCTACACATCTGTACCTATACTTTATCCCTTTCTTTGGAAGATTCCTTAGTTTTTTGTATAAAGATGGAGAAGTAGAACCCCAAGACCTTCCTTTCCCTGAAATAAAGGATATTTTTGCGGGGATTGGGGTTAACTATAACTTTTGTATATAGGCGACTGAAAAAAAAATTACCTATAGGAACTAATCAATACAGTTTATTGTATGATTTTCACTAATTAGGGTTTTACAAAAATCGCGGTTTTTCGCGGTTGATTAGGTATAGTCCTTGGCCAGTTTTATTTTTCTGGAATGTCTCATTTTCTAAAGATAGGATTGGCGTTGATATTTTAGATTTCATATCTTAGAATCACTTGTTGACTGTTTCGGAAATATGTACTTGTGAAACACTTTTTGGAACCTTTGGTGTAGTAATGAATATTACTGGAGTTTTTCCCCAACACCAAAACGTTATTTTTAACACCTCGACACGTGTTTCGATCACCAAGTGTTCATCTTCAAAGAGGAAGATTAATCTTCCTCAGTTTTAATCTTCCTTTCTGAAGATGATCACTTGGTGATCGAAACACGTGTCGAGGTGTTGAAAATAACGATTTGGTGTTGGGAAAAGACTTAAGTAATATTCATTACTACACCAAAGGTTCCAAACAGTGTATCATAAGAAAATATACCCCTTTAAATTTAGGTTTGTCGTTATATTTAAGTTTATCATTCTTCTTGGTTTTGTTTCAAACCTGCCATTGAGATTCCTCAACCATGATTCATTTCAATAATTCAGATTATCTTTACGAAGATAAAAACACAACACACCAAAGTGGCCTATTTCAAATTCGAATTATCCATTTGAAGCCTTTATTTATTTTAAAATACAAAATCATTGACATACTCGTATATGAGTTGATCATTTAAAAAGCCTTCCTTTATTTTTCTCTGAAAAGTCATAAAGTAAACGCATTCTAAAAACCAATAGTCGAAATTTACCTTTAACGTGTATATCTTTGATGTAGTTGTTTTCATGATAGCCATTATTGATAGCCATTATTGTATTTCCATTGAAATAATCCCGTTCCAATGTTCAAGGAACTTCGATAAGGTTTACAAGCGAACAAAATATTGATAAAAAAACATTTAGCACAAGCAAAGTTGCCACCTTTTGTATATTTATTGAAATAAAACGAACTTCTTTGCTGTAATGAATAATTTTAAGGTGATAATCCAAACAATTTCTGGCTCTACGTCAATCAGCACTTTATGTAGACAAAAGATTTCATAAAACGACAGTCGGTGGTACCGGATATCGAGTGAAAATTATTTGTATTTTGATTATTGTAGTTGAGTATCAAGTAATAAATGAGTTTCATGGCTAGATCTCTGAATAATATATACCCTATTGAAGGGAGTTACGAGGATTCACTAAATAATTTTCAGTCAGTTCTCGAGACGATGAGGAATTGATTCATGATAGTCCCAAATTTCAACAGTTTACATGGGGTTTTCAATCGATTTCCGATTTCTACAGCAATTATGGAAGTGAACGATAAATTGAAAAAGTAAAATTTAAGAATGGTTAATGCTGCGTGAAAATAGTTTTGTGGTGACTAATATTCCGGTATCGTAAATATACGAGGTACGTTCAAAAAATAAGGTGAATGTTCAAATTTCCCGGGCTACGTACATTTGATTAGCGATTTTTTTTATGTCGGTACACTCGTTTTGCACATATTTTCACAGTTTCAGCTTCTTGGCAAGTTTAGTTTGTTGGTGAGAGTCATAAAAATTAGAAGTGTTTTGCGTGTGCGGCGATTTTCTGCTACAGAAAAAATGGATCAAAGAATTTGCATCAAACATTCTGTAAAAAAATGAATTGAGTCAAAAACAATTGAGGTTTTGCTTTCTGTTTTCTTCGATTACCGTGGCGAAGTGCATCAGGAGTTCTTGCCACATGGTCGTACGGTCAATAAGGGGTATTATCTTGAAGCATTTTTTTGGCCAGAAGCAACGCCGTAATCATGCCTCGGCCACCGTATTCACCAGATAACAACTTCCAGCGACGACGTGAGAATTATTTTGAGTGTGGCTAATATTCAAGTGACGTGAAAATAATTCTGAGCGTAGCAATATATCGGAGATGTTGAAATAATTTTCGATGTGGCCAATACCTGATACAGTGAAAATCTTTTAGGAATGGGTTATTTCGACGAAGTGAAATTGATTTTGGGAACTATTAAACATACATCTTGAGGATTTCCGTAATGCATTATTTCAAAGGTAGGTAATGTGAATATGAAAGAGGGTCGGTCAACCCTCTGTTTAGATATCTATTGAAATTTGTTTGTTCGTTTACCTTTATATTCGTCAGAACCATCTAGGAAATGTTTTAGAATAGGTATATAATAAAAAACAGAAAAATTTCTTTGTTGCAGATTGTTTAGAAAATAAGTGATATATAATCAAGAGTTATATGACGAATACACAAAGTTCAATAGGTTGAAATGGGTACTAATACATAATTTTCTAGATTTTGCTACACTTTAGTGTAGACCATATACATGATGATAGCCTTTGCTGCTTGAAAGAAAAATTTTCAACTGCTTTTTGGTTGATTGAGAGATACCTAAATACAAGATCATTTCCAATAAAAACTCGACAAAATCCAACTTAACAAATTTTAGGATTTGTGTGAAATATGGGCATGAGATAAATAGGTCTCGGTCAATAAATTTTCTAATGCCGTATTAAACTTTTTTGTTATTTCTCACTTAGCTTCAAGTATACCTACTTGTTGGTATTGAGTTGTTTAACGAGTTTCGTATTATTTTCATTGTTCACTGATTGTCGTATAAGTTGTTCTCCGAGTGGATTTTGTTTCTATTTCAACAATTAAAGGTTTTTTCTTTTAAGTTTTCAGATCAGTGGATTTCCATCCTTATTATCTTTGATGATTTCATAATATTAACATTTTCTTACCAACTTGTTAGCGGTTCTCTATCTCATTTAAATTTAAGTGATAGAGTTGAAAATGAAAAGACACTATTAACTTTAAAGAAATTGATGGATGTAGCCGTTACTACGTGTTAGGAAATCATAATGAAGAAAAGAGAATTGAAACTTTGTAACTTTTTTACCATTTCTATTTGTAACTAACGTTACTGCATTTAAAGAAATTATTGATCATGTCCAATTAAAAGTATGTAACAATTAATAGAAGGCTTTCCATAGATTGTGACATGGGGTGCGTTGCCTATTCTCCATCTTAAAATGAAACAAGTCATTTTATACTTTGTGGGATTTCCACAGAAGATTTATGTGCTTGAACGTCACTGAAGTATTCAATTTTTGTACTGTAGTTGGTCTTCTTTGACAGTCATCCGGCTAAATTAGATTCTCAGTTCTTGAAGCCGAGTATTTGCTTAATGAAGACTGATTTCAAATTCTAGGGATTTAAATAGTTGTTGGAGAATACAGTAGCTCCATTTAGCATGAACCCAGTTGGTGTTGTCCAACTTCATAATCATAATTTTCTCTTCTTAGCTTTCTGTTGATTTTTTCTTTCCGTCAACCCATATTTCACTAATCGACATACCACCTCATATGGCACTCCGGTAAGACAAGAAGTTTCCCTCAACGCTCTATCCCCTTCCAAACCCATCAATAGCCTGACGTTTTTATGGACTGTCAGACACAATTCTTCAGACTTTCTGCAAAGCGGTTTGAGGATTTTTTTTTGCTTGGATGATTCATGATGGTGATTTTTATGTAGATCTTCCTGGTTGGCATACTTGTTAACAATGGATTCGAATTTGTGGGATTCCTCTGGCTTTGGAAAGACATCTAGAATGGTGATTTCTTCGTGGGATAGTTTCTTTACTTCGTTACAGTTTTCAATGATCTCTTGGGTGAAAGAGTGCTTGAATTCTTTGTCCATTGGTTGGTTTTCATTAATGTTGTAATATTGTTGGAAAGGTTCATTTTTAAAGGCGTCTGTTTCAATTTTCGTACTCGCAAACTGTTCAACTTTTACAAATTCTGGTTTTACCATAAGATCATTGAACTGATAATCAGGCACATTTTCTACACTCAAGTAAGGGTTCTCAGCTACGACTTTCCAATGGGGAATTTCTTCTTTCACTTGTTTTGGACTAAAAGTCTTAAATTCATAATTTCCGACCTGCGGTTCGATGGAAGAGTCGTTTTCGACTGTATAATCCTCCTGACAGGGTTCATTTTTAATAACTATTGATCCGAACATTATGATATTTAAACAATTCCAACATTGACATTGATAAACATAAACATAACATAGGTGTAGGTTAGTTACAACGACGTCACATGTCACACTTGGTATGTTCGGCTTGAAAATCTGGAGCTGGTGTGTGACTAGAACTGTAGATAATCTCATCAGCCCATCTGCACCAGGCAGAGATTGTCTCTAGACGGTATTGCGTTTAATTATATTGTTGGTCTATTTGTGAGATTACGGACTCGTTGGATTTGTATATCCTATCATGAACGATACTGACTTTCGTCGGCTTTAATTTCTTCAATTATCAATTATTTGAAACAATGAGGGCAATCACGAAAATTCTTGCCATGAGAGACCGCTAATGGGCGTGAGCTTAGTTATCGTGATTATTTAGTAATTTACTCAGAGTAACTCTGAGGTAATTTATATATGTATAAAATGAATTTATCTGAATTATGCGACGAGGAATTGAGATCTCTTTCTCAAAGGAAGGAGGTTTAAGACTAGCGATACTATGGCAGAAGGTATTGAGTGATAATTTGATAAGTACTGCAGCCTAATCAGAGCTTTGAATTTTTTTTTAAGAGTCGAAATCAGAAATCCATGTCTCATGCACTTAAATAGCTGTTTAAAAGCTGAGAATTTTTGGTTGCATACATTACAGGGTTGATATTCCGTATTAAATTGCTGTTTTCATCGACATGATATGGCTGGGCGTGACGTCACTTCTACACGGATCACACAACGTCTTGGCCACTGCGTAACAGCACCATTCGACAAATCAGATCCCAATAAGAATTCATAATGGAAATATGCAACCCGTGAATGCCAGGACATGAATCTCTCCACCTTTCTTTATTTTTTGGAGTCAATGTTCTCTCTTTAAAGGCCAGTCCATATTATAGCGTCATTGGTCTTAACATAGTCCCACAGAACTATATAGTTCTATGCATAGTCCTTTGCGGCCATTCGTTCTATTTTGATTGGTCCACATTTGCCACCGCTCTGACCCCTCCCTCAGCTGTCAGTTTTTCAGGTTCTGGAGGTGAGTTGTCACGGAGTTTTTCCAAAGAAAAACGTAGTAAATTTGAAATTGAAATCAATTACCAGGTAATTATTCATAGTTTTTTTCTCATCATTTAAAAAAATTCTGTTGAATGTTTGGTTGTGTTTGTATCGAGTTTCCACTATTACTGTTTTTCTACTAAAATCAACCATGACATTAGCGTAATTGATTATTTTTTATTCTTTCCTCTGTGGGTAATCCCGGTAGTAATTTCTATATTATTTCTAATGTAACCTTCTCTTTCCTCCAGTACTAATTAACCTTAAGTGGATTACAATTCTTCTATGGTTTGACATCCGTAATGGTTCCCCATGGTGATTTCCAACAATTCGGTGAACTTGCCCCTAATTCTGTTTTTTTTTTCAGGTTTATGAAGCTGAAGATTCAAAATGAACATTAGGATTAATTTTATAGTCCTGTCCATACTGTTTCTTGGAGTTATAGGCGAAAATGGAGATGTGAGTTAGTTTTTCTTTTCTATATTATTTCATCACAAGGAAAGAATATTGTGTGATTGCAAAAAGTGATTTGATATGATGGATTTTGACAAAGTAAAGGGATATTGTAATCACAGTGAATTCTGATGGTATGTTTATATATTGGGCCGAAATAGGGGAAAATTGTAAATTATTAGTATAAACAATCTGAATGTGAACAATCAGACAAATAAACAGATGATAACAATGACTATTAAAATATTATTCAAAAACGTTACTCAACAAATTATCTTATCAGATGAAATAGTTGAACTCTAGTCAAAAAGTGTTTCTAAACTTTATATGTTATATGTTAGGTTTCAATTACTACTAAATCTCCCCAAAGTTTATCAATGTATTTCCGTGAACAACCTCGAGAACAACAATGTGTTTGTTAAACTATAAGCAAATGATGTTCGTTGTNTATAAGCAAATGATGTTCATTGTGACAATAAAACTGAATTGAATACATTATATTGATATTAAAGTTGTTTATTTTGGTTTATTTCATATCCCATAAACAGGGATTGTTTTTCAAATAATTATCTAAGTAAAAAGCACTCTAAATTATGTATCATTTCATTTACCACTAGCTGGGTTAGATAAATATAATTAGTTTCCAAATCCAAGTGATAATGATAGTTACAATAGATAAGAACTCGACTGTAACATTGAGAAATCATTTTTCCAAACCTATACCATTGGCGTCGGAAAAAATCCATCAACAGTGACTATTACACAGCGTTATTGGAGCGTTTGAAGGACAAACTCGCGGAAAAACTACACCATTTGAAAAAAAAAATAAGGTGCTGTTTCATCAAGACAAGGCACTGTGTCACAAATCAATGAAAACGTTGGCAAAATTGCTTGAATTTGGTTTTGAATTATTTCTGCATCCCCCGTATTTTCCAGATCTGACTCTTTTCTGTTCTCGTCGAAACTGAAGCCTATTTTGAGACTAAAAACAAATCGTACTTTAAAAATGGGGTTGAAAAATTGTATGACCGCTATAATCGTTGTGTTGCTTTTAAAGGCAACTATATTGAATGAGAAAATGAAATTTTATCAAAAAATGTTTTTTCTATGTGCTTATGAACCTTTCAGCCCAACTATAAAGTTGACTTGTAGTTCTTACTTCAAACTTTATATCGGCCAAACGGGGAGAACATTTTTCTAAAGAATAAAAGAACATATTAGAAGTTACTTGAATGTAAAGACCTGTTCCACATTCATTTGACAGAGGAGCATGCGATCAACCACGAGTTTGCAGTATTTGGAAGAGAATGGAATGCTTAGAAATTAATAGATTTAAGAATTCTGAAGATTTACTCTGAATTACCGAATAGAATTTAATTATTTCCCTCTAACGAATCTGTTTTCTGTTGTGGAAATGTGGGATTAGTTTATTACATGTCCATTTAATGAGTTGAGTTGATGATGATATTCTTTCATGTTGTTAAAACTCTCAATTAGTTTTTACCCAAATTCAGCAAAAATTATTAATCATTACGTGGCCGTAAACTGTGTCCAATAATGATAGTCTCATATCGAAAAGAATCTGTTTTTTTTTTGTCAGGATGATGTAACTGTAGAAACTGTGGAAGAACCGACCTCCAATGTACCTTATGAAAGCCCGACTGTTCTCGATCCTCGAAAGGTATATTTCGCTGAGCATTTCGATGATGTCCCTCAGTTTGAGAAGAGATGGATGAAGTCGCAGGCAAAGAAAGAGGGTATAGACGAAGACATCGCTAAGTATGATGGTGTTTGGGAGGTGGAGCAGCCCCACAAGGATGCCTTTCAGGGAGACAGCGGTCTCGTCCTTAAATCGAAAGCCAAACATGCCGCCATAGCAGCCGCTTTGAACAAGCCATTCGTTTTTAGCGATAAGGTGAGTTGGGAACTGCTCAGTTTAGCTACTATAAAATATACAGTGCGGCTGTTGAAATGTTTTGCGAGGTTTTATTTTTGGCGAAGTATTTGGATGTTCTGCTTTTCAGCCACTCATCGTCCAATACGAAGTACTCCTTCAAGATGGTCAGGAGTGCGGAGGCGCTTATTTGAAGCTCATCAGTGAAGCTCCGGAAACAAAGAATCTCCAAAACTTCCACGACAAGACACCGTACACCATCATGTTCGGACCAGACAAGTGCGGCAATGACCACAAGTTGCACTTTATCTTCAAACATAAGTGAGTAATGGTCTTAGAGGCTCTTCATATCACCTCAGTGAAGTATTCGAAAGTGCACTTAGGGCGTTCATCAGATAGTTGTTTAATTTCAATGGATTTCAGGAATCCTCGCAATGGCACAGTAGAAGAAAAGCATTGCCAGAAACCGAAGGAGCGCTTGGAAGAGATATTCTCCGACAAACTGCCCCACTTGTACACGCTCGTCTTGAGGCCGGATAACACGTTTGAAATCTTGGTCGACAAGAAGATCATCAATTCTGGCAGTCTTCTGGAGGACTTTGTACCTCCGGTCAACCCTCCAGCAGAGATCGACGATCCCAACGATAAGAAACCCGCAGATTGGGACGAAAGGTAAGAATCAGAACCATTTATTCCTTCCTTAAGCAGCGAAGTGGTAAGCAAAACTTTTCAGACCACCCTCGTATGTGGACCTCTCAATAAAAGTGTATTTTTTTACAGTAAAAATCGATTTTGATTTTCTTATTTCCATATCTGGTTACTGCTTTTTTAATTAGACATATCACCTTTATATGAAAAATTAATATATTTATTTACATCTAATCCAAAAATATTCATTTAGGCAAAAATTTGAGTCTGTTATTAATGAACAGTAGATAATTAACGCAGACATCAACTCAAGATGGCTGCCGCTTTGGAAATTCCAATTAATTATTTTCCTATAATTTTAAACCTGGCGAAAGTATGGAACACTCAACTGTCATTCATCACCGAACCTAAATTGTCATCTTATTATGGAACCTAAACTTTCAGTTGTGTCATTTTGGCGCCACCTATGAATATGAATTCGAATCTGTTAAATGTCAGCGCCACCTATACATTTTATTTGAAATTGGCTTATAAAAAATGGCATTTGAATGTAAAATGTAAAGGGTTCACATAAAGAACAGCAAATATTGTAATTGATTAGGTAGTGTGATTGAAAAATAATAGAAAACGAAGCTTTAGCAATTGGTTGCAATTGGCCGTCATAGCTTCTTGATTGTTCCATTCGTTTGTATGCATATTGAAACTTCGTTATCCTTTCAGTCGGCAGTCGGTTTCGAGCTGTGGTCCATGTCCCAAGACATTCTCTTCGACAACATCATCATCACCGAAGACATCGCCATCGCCGATAAATGGGCGGAAGACACTTTCAGTAAGAAACGTCAGAAGATCGCCAAAGATTCCGTAAGTATTAACCCTTCCCCATATCTCTCCACCTTTAGCATATACATTTAATATTCCTTTTGTGAAGAACACTTGGTGGGGCAAAATGCTGAGAGGGATGAACTACCGACCGAAGACGTGGGCTGCGTACGCAGTTTATTGTGCGACGCCCGTAGCTTTTTACGCATTCTACTTGTACCGTTGCGTAAAAGAGGTTGAGTAACTCTTTTCTATCGCCAGAGGAACTAAGGGGTTTTGTAAAGTTGGTAGTCGCGAGTTGTTTCCACTTAGAATGTTTGTGCTTCGTCATAGTAGCTCGACAATTTTAGTCATTGTTCTTTTTTTAATCGAAAAAAGTTTATTATAGGATTCAGAGGGGTTGCTTATGAACTGTTGAAAACGTACCTAACAGAGAGAAAATTATACACAAAATTAGAAATCAATCAAAGTGATGAGTATAATGTAAATATTGGTGTGCCACAGGGATCAGTTCCCGGACCTATACTGTATGTTTTGTATGAAAATGGCTGGTTTGGATGCAAGATACTTTACCTTTGCTGTTGATACCGCACTAGTATATTTAAATAACTGTCTTGAAACAGAACAAACAGTGAATAATGACCTAAACAAATACTATCAATGGCTACTGATGAATAAGCTAGCATTAAATGTTGAAAAACTGTATATATGGCGAATCTGGCGAGTTCCCATCGTTTCTGAAGACATATTTGATAATCCCTTTGTATAAGGGTGGACCTAATGATGACCCTTCCAACTTCCGGCCTATAGCACTTATTCCTACCCTTGCTAAACTCATAGAAAAACTAGTGTAAAGCAGAATTGTATGTTTTTGCAATGATAATAACATCCTTACTTCTCGTCAATTTGGATTCCAAGCAAATAAGGGTACTAGTGATGCTATGTTCTCTCTGTTTGAAACGATATACTCCGAATATAACACTAAAGAAGCAGTCGCTGCTGTTTTCTGTGATCTATCGAAAGCTTTCGACTGTGTCAACCATGAGATCCTTCTTAATAAGTTGCAACAGTATGGCTTCAGAGGCAACACTCTCCACTGGTTTCATTCGTACTTATCAGGTCGCAAACAGGTAGTTAAAACAACCGAGTGTTCCTCTGCTCAAACTATCAAATGTGGTGTACCACAAGGATCGATCCTTGGCCCAATTTTGTTTCTTATCTACATAAATGACTTAGCTTTTATAGATATAACGGCCACAATTACTCTCTTTGCTGATGACACCACTTTATTATGGCACAACAAGGACATTCCTACCCTTCAAGATGCCATCTCAGCTGACATCAACAAAATCAAAGAATGGTGCGACTGCAATAAGTTATCATTTAATATCAATAAAACTAGCATACTTACTTTCCACTGCAACTTACCTGAGATCTGCCTTGGTGACAAAATCTTAGACAGGGTACATAATTATAAATTTCTAGGGTTGAACATTGATGATAAACTGAAATTTAAAAATCACACAATAAACTTAAGCAAGAAGCTTGCCTCAGGTTGCTATGNTGTTTTTATATATTTATTTTTGTTTTTTATTATTATTTTGGTATTGTTAAAAATAACTATAAGATTATATTAACCAAAAAATACTTTGTAGGCCATAACACAGATCTATTCTGATTACTGGCCAATTATATGTTTATAAAAAATAGTAAGAACCATTTGAAATTGCAAAAAAAAACTATTGCATGTAAATTATTTTATAGTACAACATACCCCCCTACCATTTCATTAATAAAGCTTATGAAACCATTTGTAGAAAGAGTTGAACTGTTGGTAATTATTATCAATCGAAACTATTGGGCTTCAGACAGCACATTACGAAGTGATGGCAAATGTCGCCATTTTGGTAGTTTTGTTTTCAATATATTGATTTTACGCCAGAAGTTCCAGTACGAACTATCAAAAATACGTACTGTTTTCGGGAAAAGTTTTGGCTTTCTTCATTTCTTTCGAAGATTCATATGTGGTGGAATGAGATCTATAAACGGCGACAAAGGTCCCATTCCATAAATAAAAATATCAAAAATAATCAATACTTAGAATTAATCGGATAATTTTCATCATCGAAGAGGATTCTTCAGCCAAATTTACATAAAAGCCCTAATTAAGTTGTGAGAATTAGTTTTAAGTTATTTTCTGATGATGCTTACTTGGCTAACGAAACGTGCGTCAAGAAACAGTATTTCTGATCTGGTGTAGAAATAGTGTTTTCAATACATTCATCTTGAGCCAGAGGATCCAGTTCTACCTATCAAGTGACGGTCGTTGACAATTTTTTTTTATTGACAGGAGAGCGTGATTCAGCGCTTGGCCGCTCTTACAAACGACTACCCGTTCCTGTGGGGAGTGTACATCCTGGTCCTTGCTGTGCCCGTAGTGTTCCTTTTGTACCTTTGTTGCAAACCCGCCAGCTCCTCCGCTAGTCACAAGCAGGTAGCGCTTTTTTGTAAACTAGATGTACTACGCTAGGTTTGTTGGCTCGAATCAATTTATTTTTAAGTTTTTATGAGATTTACTTATTATTCGACAGTTTTTGAATATCAAATTGGAATGATGGGAAACCCAAATAAGAAACTTTTATTCTCTGACAAGTGTTTCAACAACAAATGTCTTATAGAGATACATGTGAACAAGATAATTTATATGGTCCTGTATCCTGGAGGTCTGTTTCTGTTCCTTTCATTATCTTTGTTATTAGTCTGGCAAACGACCAAGCGGTCTTTGTTTACTTCCTCCAGAAGTTTTGCATTTCATCTGGAAACCAATTTGATATTTTGAAACTCTCCCTCAACTCATTATCAAGTTTTTCTTCTCTCGCACTTGGATATTTTCATTCAGGAAAAAGAAGAGCTGAGCCAAGCGGCCGAAAAGAAAAAGACTGATCAGTTGACTGAAGACGTGGAGGAGGAGCAGGAGGGAGAAGAGGAGGAGAAGGAGAACAACGAGGGAGGAGAAGAAGAAGCAGCGAATGATGACGAGGAGCAAGAGAAGAATTCTCCTCCGGACTCGGAGGAGGATAACGAAGCCATCGAGGTAACTAGATCGAAATTTCCAAGTTATGTTCAATACTGAATATTTTTGTCTTTTTCAGGAAGAGTCAGCGAGCAAGCCGTCCGTTGAGGGAGCGAGGAAGAGGAAAGTCAGGAAGGACTGAGCGGGGGAGCAGTTTTCAGTCGTTTTTGCACCATTTAAGAAAACTATTCCTAAGAATTTGATATAATTTTCGTTTTCATTGAATAAAAGGCGGTGTCGTAGCTGTACATTCTTTTTGTGACTGATCGACTGATTTTATGTTTGTATCTAGCCGTTTTCGAATAGTATTATAGGAAGTTATGAAATTTTCAGGAAGACATTACCTTTTGTACATATTCCCTGAGATGTATGTAGTTGCCGATTTGTTAATTTTTTGGTTTTTCCAGAAGGACCAACCGTGTGATTCAGTGATCATTTGTTTGTATTTTTCTGTTTGAGCCTGAATAAACGTTTCAAAAGAATTTTGCTTTTATCCTTGTATGCCTCGAGCGCCATCTACGGTTGGCGTATTGAAGTTTATACATCTGTTCAAAATCTGTTTTTCCGTTAACCAGCCGTCGCCCCCATACGAACAGCAACTCTCAGAAGTTGAGAAACTTGTGCGAGCTGAGGACTAACGAGGTCTTACCTTTTAACGTGTGATTCCTAACACTGACATGTAACTGGTTATTGACTTTTCCACGTGAAACGAAGGTTTCACGGTTTATTTTTTTAAACAGGAGTTCCTGAAAATACAATTTTATTTTGCGAAACTTCGAATAGCATAAAAACTGCCTGAAACCAAAGCGAACAACGAAATTAAAATCATCAGTATATTCTTGTAGAGCTTCCAGGAGCAGAAGCCCCAGTCATTCCAGTTGATGAGGATATCGACAACGCCGGGCACGAGGAGGCCCAGTATGGAGAAGAAGACGGCCCCCACGAGGTCGATGAGCGAGTCTAGGTTGTGGCCGGCGGCCGCCGCGACGCTCATCGCAAACGTCACCGTCAAAGTCCTGAGGATGGTCTGCGCAACGTTGTGCTTCTGGGGGGCGAGTCTCGTCCTGAGGTGCCGCCATAGGATGTCGGTGGGCACGTAGTGGTTCAACATGAACGTGAAGAACATCGAGGAGCAGATGCAGGCCTGCGCGATTTGGGCGGGACTGCAAAAACAATCAATCAATGTAGAAAAACAAAGTCAAAATATACTATGTACAAAACAATTTAATCCTTCCAACTAGCACAGCTTGCTGAATCTAACTGTGCGTTTGAATATTGGATGCGCGTAGATCAGCTGGCAGACTGAGGTAAGAGCTCAACATCAAGGAACTCGTGTAGCGAAAATCGTGTTAGTACAGTAAGTGGAGACATTATTATGTGAGTGTACTGTTAGTTATTTGTTATCTTTGAAAATGCCTTTAAACTGTAGACTAGTCCAGTTCTAACTGGACAAGGCAGAGAAATTATGAAAGACGTATTGAGATTTATGAAAGCGAAAGCAACTGCAGATGGAATAAGAATTACTCCTGCGAAGGTAAGAAATAATAGTAACAATGAGTAAAATTGTAACCAATATTATATCTCAACTCTAAAGTTTTAAGAACGAGTAGCAGCGATCACTGAGGTTTATATATCTGTTTTTCTGTTAATATAACTATTTAAAAGCGTGTTTTAGTTTTTTACACTATATTTATTATTTTGATTTTCTTTTGAACAACCTATCGGAAGTTACGTACAGCGCCATCTGCCCGCGAATAGATCAAGCAATAACATCGACAATACTGTTAATACAGATCCCAAGCTTGAAAGTTACAAATATACATACATACATACACACAGGTGAAGCTAATATGAAGCGTGTAATAAAAATCAAATCAGATAGAATGCCAGCCTATTTGACTACTTAGCCTTTTTCTTTTCAATTATGGGATCATCAGGACCACAAAAGTGCTTATTTTTTAATTTGTATCATCATGAGACGAACCTTATCTCAGAAGTATGGGTGAAAAACTCTACCAATCAGATTTTTTGTTCTCTTTTGTAAAAAAATACTCATTAAGGTTTTTTTTTATTTTATTAATAGCTTATTATAGGGAAGATTTACAAAGAAATATTATATAGCTGAAATACGTCTACAGGGTCACAGATGATATCATTTCATGTTCAATAATTATATTATTTCTCTCACTGTTTCTATCTTCTTCAAAACATTTTCGAAATTGGATCCAAGTGGTGTTAATATTCGTAGACTTCAATAATTCACTGGAGTAGTATGTTGCCTGAATATATTTATTTTTAAAGGAAAAGTCTAGGTTTTGAAGATGAAATAAGTTCTTTGAACTGATTTCTCAACGTCTTTGCTTACCCATTCTTCGTTATGTGATTTTTCACGATTTTGCATCCAATTTGGCAGGATTTATTGAAGTGAGAAATCAAGAGTGTGTAAATTATCCAATTTATTACAAAAATCAAACATTGTCAGATTTGCTCTTGATCTTGATCCTTGAGATAATCCTTAAAAGATATTTCCAAATAGTAGGTAGTTCTCTTCGATTTTCCAGAATATCTAATTATTACTGAACAAAGAAGAGTGCGATGATCAAACTACATATCTGATACCCGCCAAACCTCTCCTACAGTAGAATGCTTGGTATATACTTGATCTTATCGGTTCTATATTGAAGCTCATCCAGGTTAAGTCCAAATTCCTAGGACTTAGATTAAATAACATGAATATTTGTGGAAAAATTTGTCTATATTTTTCATTCAACAAATTAATATTGAAATTCACGTTCATCACGATAGTTATTCTAGAATCGAAAAAGAATGTTGAAAAAAAAAACCCCAAGGGGATCGTTAACATGACGACAATGCGTTTTATTTTCGAACAAGTAAAGTAGTACTCACATTTTATCCGATGGTAAATTCTGCGTGATAGCCGCGTGGGTGTCTTCGCCGAAGGCGAAGTATCCGCAAAATCCTATGAAAGTGTGGCACGTCACCACGAACCCCATAGCAACATTAAGGACGCCCATCCGTCCAAGGAATTTCGATTCTATCATCGTATTCTCCACCGGCATTATGGATCCTACACCTAGAACACAACAAATGACACTTACAAAGGAATTAAAGCTAGGTTAAGTTAATTTGGAACCGCGAAAAGATTCCAACAAAATCACTTTTAACACACACCAGAACTGTGACACAGTTCATCATCACCTGATGACGCCAGTTCGGTTGAAGGAATGCGTGTCGATAAGTGTCAACGTTCTGGTATGTGCAAAGTGTTTTGTTGGATTTATACAACGTTTCGTCTGCTACTGCGGCAGACAGGTCGCATCGTCTTTTTTTTTTAATTTATGCCACAGTAGCAGACGAAACGTCAGGTATAAAAACCTGCGGACCACGGCTAATAAACCCGAAAACATCGGATGATTTTTAAGAAACATAATTATTTAATTAAAATTCAATGGACACATCCTAACCAATCAAACTGTTCAATGCCCAGTCGTATTATTATAAACATAATGAAAAAGGGACCTTCTCCATTCAAAACCACTTGCTTGGATACTTACCATGAAAGGTTTACGAAACTGCGATACGTGTTTCGCTATACAATCCTTCTTGAGAAGGTTATTGTATAGCGCGGTTTTGTAAACCTGTTGTAGCAGAAATCAGTAAGTTCGATATCGATTCTCATAAAAAATCGGCCAGTTCCATTTCACCTTCTTTCTCAGATATAAGTAGATTGAAAATTTTCTGATGATATAAATTGATTGACAAACGAAAACAAGTTTTCCACACTTCTGATTGAGAATAAGCAATTCCTTCAAGGTTTAGATATCGAATAAGAACTTTTTCATAATTTATCGGTGTGATTCATCCATTTTGCATCTACCTAGTAATTATGGAAATAAAATAAAAATAATCACAGAAACATTGAGATAGTTTCACGATCTAGTGAATATTCTCACAGCTGCAAATACGATGAACATATGCCTCTGTTATACAACGATGAGATATTTTACCTTCCATTGCAAAGAGCACTGTACTGAAATAAGAGGGAATGTTTCCGATGCTCGTCGCCAGATGCCTTTCGCTGATGTCTACCTCCTGGATTTTCACCGCCATGTAGTACAGGGTGATAACGAATGCCGTGACCAACGTGACGTTCGCTATAAACGAAAACGGCACCATATGTTTCAGCTCTCTTATCTGGCAAAGAAACACCAGCAAAATATACAGCGCGAGCATGAAGTAGTTGTGCCACGATTCCGCGGGCGGGTGAAAGAACGATACCAGCTGTAAAACAATACAGTATTGAGAATAAGTTTACGTCAAGAGAATTTCATCAAGGATGAAATCAAATAATTACCTTCGTCAATGACTCTGAAATGAATACGGCTATAACTGCAATTCCAAGGAAGTAGGTGAGGCATAGAGCGATTTCCACGAATACTCTGAAATGAAAAACATAATAAATTCTACTTCAACCTAGAGGAAAAAAACTGGTTAAAAATATTATTCCAACAATAATGAGAATAACTCTCACCAGCATCTGGTGTGAAAAAGTTATTTAAACAGTTGTGACTATTTGCTGAGTTACTTTATTTATACAAAAATAACTTGTGACTTTCTACTCCTTCATCTTTATACAAAGACTAGTACTACTTGCTGAACCGCTGATGTTCCAATGTTTTGACAGAATCGGAATCAACGAACTTAGGCGTGCGCAGCGTTATAGAACAGTGCTTTCAAAAAAAATTGTCTAGTGCGCCATCTAGTGGCGAGTTACAGAAAAATTGATAGCCTAAAGACCTTCTCTATGAAAAATTACTTATACATGCCAAGTTTCATCACGATCGGTTGAGAGATGTAGAAGTGTATCACTTACCAACCAACCCACAAACATCCATTTTTATATAGTAGATTGTGGAAAACATCCGAAGGAAGAAAAAAGCAATTACGTTTAAAATACACTCTTTAGAAGTTACAAACTGGAAGAGAAAAAAAGCCCTCCCGAAACAACTACTTTCACATGAACATTGAATTACACGAAATAAAAACTACTTTTATATGAATATTGAGCTTGTAGCGTAACTTCCCTACCGCTCGTGATTTCATAAAGTAATATGTTTTCGTTTTTAGTTTGTCCTCGTTTGTCATTTATACTCACTGTATCATGTTTGTTTGCATCTTTTCTTTATCGACGTTAACCTATTTTTCATTTCATTCCGGTGTAAATGCTAGGGATTAGGGATCTGTATTGACAGAATTATCAACATAGTTTGGCTTGGCCTATTCGCGTGGAGTTTAGTCGTATTTTCAACGATCAACTGGGAATAAAACCATTTCAACCCCAATTATTCTGCTTGGTGTACGAACTTATTTTTCCCACCCCACTTCAAGCTAGACAAAAATAACTTTTTCTTATTCAGTTTATACTCCAAACATTCGTTATCGAAATTGAATCAGATATCATTCACAGGAACGCTAGGACACAATGAAATATATGAATGAGTTAAGATATAAAACGTTGGGGAAATAAAACTTCGAAGTCCTTCATTGAAGTTGAAATTGTTTTTTAAGTCTGCCATTGAGGATGACAATGTTCCATGCAAGCGAAATTTTATATGGTTACTCTTTTAAATATTCCAATGAGGATCTGTACTAGATAGGCTGAAAACTTCGTAGGCTAAAACACAGATGGCGGTACTAGTAATAAATTCATATAATTTTTAGTTAACCCTGCTAACCTAACCCAATCTACCCCTGAAAAGACACGTGTACAAATTTCATAGCTGTCGGACTATTAGTTTGTGGAATAGTACATTTTGAGTGAATCAACTTTTGTTAGTTTGCTATAGTAATCAATTACATCGAGTAAACAAACCTTTCCCACAGTTCATGACATTCCGAATACAAAAACGTTCATGGAAAAAATGGCATGGTTAAAAAGAGGAAAAATACATATGGGTCAAAGTCAAGATTCGAAAATTTCAGAGGGTTCTCACCTGGCAAATCGAGACCATCTTCTAACAGGTTTAGGGCCGTTTTGGAAAATAGCTTCGACGCTCTCTGCAAAGTCGAGGCTCGGAGTTTTTGTCCTCACACATATTATGTGCGACGCTGAAACCTATGATTAATGTAGCATGCCTCATGAAGGAGAAAAGAGATAAGGAATACGTCAGAATCAAGACCGAGACCTTGACATATTATATGGAAATTAATCTAGCAAAAATAACTGATGAATCTGAAAGAATTAAAGTCCCGTCGAGGTACTAATCGGTTTTCCTCAAATATAAACGAAATAATATGGCTACTGCTCCGAACAACCTAACCCGATGGTTGATAGTCATTTTTCAACTGATTTGAATTAAATTCAAAACAGTAGCGGAATAAAATACACCAATTCATTAACAATGATCAAGTATTGTATTTGCATGGGTGTTATACATAAAATTCATCGATATTTACATCGCAATTGGAAAGACATACATTTCACAAGTCTTCACAATGCACTTTCCGGTACACGAAGTCTGTTGAAAAAAATCGATCAGCATTTTTTTAAATTTTCATGTTAGTACACTCGTCTCGAACATATGCTTACAGTTTCAGCTGTTTAGTTCGTTGATGAGAGGCATAAAAAAATTTGCATCAAATTTTGTGTAACAAATGAATTGAGTGCTTAAAAACACTAGAAATTTTGACAGTGGCATACGATGATTGCACTCTTTAGTCAGAATTTTTTTAAAAGTTTTTCACAGGTCGTGATTTGAAAATTGTTATGGAGAATCATCCAATCACTATTAAAGAAGTTACTGTTACTTAAAGTAAAATTGAACCAAACATACAAAATATGAAAGAATGTGATATCTGATCTTTCATAACAATGCTGTGTGATAATTTACATAATATATGCAACTTTAAATGTGATCGATTCGAAACATTTATACATTTTTATGTATATTTACAGTACTTTACGTTGGTCACAAACTGCCAACGTTTGGTTATGTTATTTCACAAAAACTTTTTTTCCGAGAATTATAAAAAAAAATTTTTGCGAAATTTTCGAAAATATCAACATGTCATTATTGGCATCTAATCAACCTCACAATGTTAAAATTGTATATCATTGAATACTATGATGTTTCAGTTAACAAAATATGATGCTTAGGCCCAAAAGTTTTTTTTTATTTCAGATTTAAAAATAACTCCAATATTTTCCGTAACGCTTCTACTTACAAGTCTATAAAAACAAAAAATATATAATGGGATTTCTTCCGGGCCTGTTATCTGGATTTTGTCGGTACATGCTAAATAAATATCTATAATACCTTCCTATTGTCTTTTCATTTTGTTTCCATTTTTTGTTTTCGTGTAGGTAGTATTCTTTTGTATGTCAAATTGTGATGTGTACATATGAATATGAACTAAAATTTTTATTTCAATGAAACTGAATGATTCCCAAAAAATACTCACCAGTAGTCGAATGTTGTATGTACATAAAATTCCTATCAGTATGGTTCCCACGCCACCCACAGCTAGGCCTGCTGTTTTGAAAGCTCTAGGCGTAGCCAAAATGCCTGTTCCCAAAGAACCTTTGATGATATGGACCACAGCGCCAAAATAACTAAATAAATATACCAATTCTTCATAGAAATCAATCTTCCATCAAGTTATTTACAAAATTTGGTCAGCCCTCATTTGTTCACTTTCCTCTCTTAGTACTTGAAAAATGGAAAACTCGTAACCGATTTCTACATAATATATTTGCAGCTTTTTTGTTATCAGTGAAATATAGTGACCTTTATATAAAAAAGTGTTCCTGAGATCTACACGAATATAATGTATTTGATGGTGTGTTCATTATTTTAAGAATCAGTACAAACAATCAACTTACGTATTTGGATGTTCTACATTTCTATGTTCGTAAGGATCATATTCTTTTTGTGTAATACTGGTAATACTATCAACGCTTCCATTGGCTTGCGCTTTGATTTGGTCATTATTTGCTAGTGAGGTTCTGAAAAGAAGCAATACAGAATTTATTTTACACGTTCATATAAATGTTTAAATATTACCGAGTAAAAAAAATCCTTTAAACGAATTCATATCATGAATGTGAATTTTTCAATCGACATCCATTATATATCATATACGCACAAATTTTGACATTAGTGTCACTTAATTTTCAAAAAATATGGCTTAGTGTTTAATATAATATATTCATTTCAATCATAAGACCCTCTGAAGGAAAGAAGAGAGCCAAATACATTTCTATAGTTTTCACAATTATAACTTGAATAACTTTCCTTAATCTTTTGCTTTTGAAAATATATTAGAGTTATTGAAAATTTTACCAAAAAATACAGTTCTCGAATACAGTAAAAATTAATACTAACCTTGAATTATAATCCACTACTGAAGACAGCGTGTAAGAATCGATTTTTTCTTTTTTCATATCGAGACTGAAAAAATTGAAAACACTTTTACTAGCCAGCAAAATAAACTGATTGTAAAACGAAATAATTACTAACTTTTTGAAAGTGAACAACGAAATAACTCGATATTTACAATTTCCTCGAGTAATAACCAGCCGTGAGAAAATGAACGATTAGTCAAAGTGGGAGTAAACGAGCAGGATGTTAACAAAATGTTTCTGAGAGTTACATAAGGATTTCTTATTCGTACAAAAATTTAATCAATATGTCAGTCATCCTCATGCTCAATTTTAGTATTCACCAAGGACTTTCATTACTATCAGATCCAAATATTCTTTGAGAGTTCCTCATCCAGTCGAATTATTTCAATATTTTGACAATATACAATATATCTATAGGCTTAACCGTATATAAATATTCAATACTTCGAATGTAAGGTATAATAAAATGTTTATTATTCCTGCTTGAATTCGTCAAATGAGAAAAAAAATGTTGCACCAAAAAGTTTCTCACGTTTTTATTTGACAAATGATTTTTGCTCTTATAGAAAATATCACTTTTTGGAAACATCATGGTTATGACATTTTTTGCCAGTTAAACAATTATACATTACTTATGAAAGGTTTGATTACAATGCAATTATTGAAAGTTTTTATAACCTGTCATAAATATATTCTTAAGTTGCGAATAGCATATCACAATACGGAGCAGTTTCAGTAAACCGATTTGAAAGAATACATACAAGGTAGGTTATAAACGATAAACTCGTTACTGTTCTTAGGTATATTGAAACAAGTATTTTAATAACTTGAAGAAAGATGCCAGTGAATTATTTCAGTTCAAAAACATATTTCTGAATAAAATTGATGTTTTTTTATGATTTCTCTCTGAAGCTGGCATGGAACTGAATCAATTTCAATTAAATCACAGCACAAATAATTTTTGTAACTTTCAATTCACTTTCACGGGACTTATTGATACTGAAGGGAAAGATATATCGAATAGACACAATAATTCCGTACTTCTGAATCTAACTGGTCAAGATAAAAAAGATACCAATATTTATAGTAGGTATGCCATCAAAAATTAGTACCTAGTTGTTAGCAAACAAACACATATCAGGAAATCCATAAAAATTCAATCAAAAATCATGTTTTTTTTCTGCATCGTATCTAATCTACTTCAAACGAGAACCGCTTATTGCAATTTTCAAGGTTTTTCCAGTTACTATTCGCTTTTGTGCACTCACGGGAATACTTATGAAAAATCAGAAATATATGATTTAAAATATAGGTTCTTCCATTAAGCGCTTTCTATCTTATGAGGTATGAGAATACATCATAAGAAAAAGTCTAACGGGTTCAAATCGTATGAACTAGGTGGCCAGTTCACATCACCACCACGTGAGATGACCATGCCCTCAAATCGCTCTTGCAGAGTATCCAATGTGGCATGAGCTGTGTGACACGTTGAAACCGCATGTCTTTGGTGTCCAAAACATCCAATTCAGGCCAAAAGAGTTTGGAGGAAGATCAAAGAGTTTGATCTTTCTCTTGAAGATGACACTTGATGATCGAATCACGTGTCGAGGTCTTAAAACAACGTTTTGGTGTTGGGAAAAAATTCCAGTAATATTCAGAAGTTGTTTTCTTCATCCTATATTCAATATGAATTTCTACAAAATGAAATGTGTCATCAATCGAACAAGACTAACAAGGCCCATCATTTTCACGGAGATAAGCAATATAAGAAGCCATCTAAAAAGAAAAAAGCATAAGTTGTGTGACTAACAGAATAATTAATTGTTTAATACACAGTTCTATCACGCTATGCTATATCGAATAGACATAAACACATTGAATAATAGTTTATTTCCAGAAAACTATCGAATAATCAGATTTGATGATCAAAATAGAAATGTTTCTTATGGTAATCGGGTGTTATGAGCTATTTTATAGCATAAATTACTTACCGACTAATATTGATACATATGAAACAATTAAGGATTACGATTAGTGAATAGTTTTCCGGCACATCTGCCGTCTGCTAATGATTACAACGGAATTTAAAATGTGTGCAACAAATCGCAAAGAGCAGCATATCAGCACTGATTTCGTCTTCCTGTGTGAATGATTATTTTAATTGATTCGGGGTTTTTTAATTTTAAAAAATGAGTGAAAAGCTGATAACTAATATAATGACATCGATTTTAGAAAAAAAATTCCAAAAACATCACAATGATTCATTTACTGTCTGTTCAAGATGAAGAGGGCTGATATAGGAAAATCGGAATACGTATCTTATTTAGAAAATTCTAATTAATTGTTTCCTTTTGTTATTACTGAATTAGATATCGAAAAACAAAAACACTCTCCCATTTTCATTCATGCTGCACAATATGGCGTTTGAAGATTCCCAATTCGACGTTTCGTCCCCGATAAACTTCATATATTATATGAATAAAAAAACTACCTGGTGTAAGTTGAACTTTTTGGTGATTTGATATATCACACTTAATCAATCGGAATTTCCTAAATTACGAAATGCCGTTTAAATAAACTTCAAAATGGCCAGCGTCTTCCTAGTTCAACTGATTTTGTATTTTTTGAAGATTCTGATTTTTCCCTCACCGGTCGTCCTTATCTTGGACATAGTGTGTTTGTTTATGTTTGAATTGTAGATGGTGATGAAAATAGTGATCATCATCAAGGCTTTAGTAACTGTCTGAAAGATTATCTAAATCACTACGCCTGGTAAGAGAGGCGTGTTTGCAATAGATTATTGTTGGTCATTCAAAAGGAAATTCGATTATTACCTCGATTGATTTGCAGGGATTTCAGCAGGTTTAATTTTTGTCTTTTATTTTGAGTATGTAGTACGTCGTAGTTATGTTGAAGTCGTGGTTGTTTCTCAACAGACGTTATGTATAGGTTGAATTGATTTTCTTTAATTCATAACTTTGTCTGTGTTCGAAAATTCTTGATTTGAGATTTTTAAATGTTCTTCCAATATAAACTTTTGGTCATGAGTCACGTTTCAGCTTGTAGACACCCGATTTGTTGTTCTTATCGATGTTAGATTTGTTGTTTACCTAATAAAGGGTTATATGCTACGCTGATGTTCTGTTTCTGTTTTCTGATGTCTTCTTTGTATATGTCAGCCATTAAACAAGTATACCCTCACATCAAGGATAATACAAACACTTTAAAAACACTGAAAGCCTATGATCTTATATTGCACCTACAATATTCAAATCGATGTGTACTGTAAATATAGCATCGAAGCGAGCATGTTATATCTGGTGCAATTTTATTTTTTTATGAAAAATGTCATCGATAATATTGTCTGGACGTTATTTGGAGAGATACACAAGTTATCTTTGGCATTTATGGAAATAAAAATAAATAAATCAAGCAAATGTGAAGGATTAATTACTAAATTTGCTCAGAAATGTTACTGCGTTTAAATTAAATTTATTCAACTTGCTAATGTTTTTATGCACAAGAACTGTGCCATTTTTCTCGACTCACGTTTTACTATGACTTTCTGTTGTTACAAATATGTCAAAACAATGAACAATCCATTTAGAAAGGCTCTATTTAACTTCACCTGTTCAAAATAGATTGACTGGATTATAGTAAACTGATTTATTCAAAAAAAAATTAATTCATTAAGTTTTCGTCATATCTCTATATTGTATTATTCCGGAAAATTGAAAAAATAAAAGTATTTCTTTTCTGAGAGATTTTTTTTCATTATTTCTGATCGAAATGTAAAATATAATGAAATATTTCAGTGAATAATTAGCGAATATCACCTGTGTCGTAACACCTCACAATAGACATGTCTAGTTGCGGATTAATGCAATTGCACTGAACGTGGATGACGTTACTTTTTTACAATTATCGCTGAAGTGGAATGTAACAATAGAGCAAAGTATGTGAAAAAAATTGGGTCAGATAATGATACTTTTCTTGAGCAGTCATTTTTACAAAGATCGCTTACCCATTCTCAAACATCTCGTATTCGATCTGACGAACGGAGAGTGGAAGTACTGACACTCAATTGTGTTTTACGACTAATTTTCCAGCTCAAATATATTGAGTGATTGTACAAACAGTGTGTTTGCTTCGTGATCATTTAACGTGCTCTCTACCTAAGCCAGGATTCCGCAACACCGTTAAAAGATAGAATTTCGACAATATTGACTTCAGTGCTTATTCTTTAAGAGAGATTAAATTTATATTTCACTTATTATCGTCATGCGGAGTTATAAAATATTCACTCTGGTTACTGTTGTTGCACATCGTGTTTAATTGAAGAATACGTCACCCGAATGTCTGTGAAAGCAAAATTAATAGTTAAAAAGATCATTTTCAGCCACAGTCTACAGGCTTTTATTTACCAGCTCTAGCAAGAAAAAAAAACTTATATAGATATACTGCCTTCAAGATGCGTGTATACTATGACTATATTGCCTTAGAACGCATATTGAACATACCATTTCTCGAGGCACGCAGAAAACATAGAGACTTAATATTTCTATTTTGAAACATCAAAGAGCTTCTCTCGGGGATGGTAATCACTTTTATCTGTGACTATCGTTACAAATAAAAGTTGTAAAGAATGTAGAACGTTCATTTCATGATGATCTCCTACCATGTAGTAACCGCCAACAATCAAATTTCCACATTCTTCCGTTCCCCCAACGACAATTTTGTCCACGTTCCGATTTCCATAGAACACATATAGGACATACCAAAAGACGTGTAACAAGAAGAGTATACGAACATCAACTTGCAGTACGAAAGTCAGACCCAGCTGTGTCCAAACATCATCAAGACACAGGACACACACAACACTTACGAAGGCCAATGAACAAGAAACAGATGTCTGCAAGTTGCCTACCTCTATCATTAGATGATAAAAACTGCGAATATTCCGGAAAGTACTAACAAATATAGTCAATTTTAGCAGCATTTCTTCCCAAACAAGCTGGCGTAAGCAAGAGATTTCTTCTGACGATTTGGTCTCGATCGAAACGTTTTTAAAGCAGAAAAAAAATCTCGCGTTTAGATGTATAAATAAGGATTACTAAGTAAACAACTATTCTTATCGCAGTTATTCAAGAGAATAGAATACCACATCGAAATGAACGTAATTATCCAGATATCCACAATGAGATACATTAAATTATAGGTATACAGATCAGAACCGAGGAATTATTTTTCCTTGCCACTCTCAGAATACCGCCAAACAATAAGTACGTAGCGTAAGCGTGAAACATTAATTATCTGGTGAATATTCAATTTTCATCTGTTGATAAGAAATGACGCGATAAAAAATAGCCGATGTCTATGTGAAATTTCGGTTCAACGGGTATGAGGTATATCCAAGTGAAATATTTGTTTTTATTCTTTCGATAGTGTGAATGTTTGAAATCCACGTTTCCATACTGGGTAAGTCAAACTTAAATTCGAAAGAGGTAATATTTTTCGGAAACGTTCAAAAACGTACTGTGCAAGGTGACCATTTTTCACATGACTGAATATATTGTCTACTAGCGACCCGCGCCAGCTCCGCACGGGTACAATGCTGAAACTCGATATAAATTTACCCACCGGAAAATTAAGGGCATGAAGAAATAGTGATAAAATTATGATTTTGTTTTATGGACACGCCTTTTTCCCCCGCGGCTGGCACTCCAGTTGAAATATTTAAAAATCCTTTCTTATTGCACATATATACAATATGAAAAGAACCTACATACAACATTTCAGCCTCCAAAAATATACCGGTACGGTATATGAAGGCGCCTTTTCCTCCGAGGCTGTAGCCCCAGTTGGAATATTTAAAATATCTTTCTTATTTCACACCTACAACATGAAACAAATCTACATAGAAAATTTCAGCCGCCGAAAATATGGCGGTACGGAGAAACGGTGATGAAAATTAAATTTTCATATGTACCTATACGTTTTTTGGTCCCTAGTGGGACCATCTACAACAAAAAAGGAACATTCATACAAAATTTCATTTTTCAAAAATATAGCGGTACGAAGAAACAGTTATGAAAAGGTAATTTTCATATGTAAACGCGCCCCTTTCAACGAGGGGCACCCCAGTTGGAATATTTGAAAAGCCTTCCATAGTGCGCATTTAAGACCTAAGAAGCACCTATATACCAAGTTTTAGCTTCCTAGGAATCCTAGGATTACCAGTACGGAAAAACAGAGATGAATGTGAGTGTTAAGTGATTGACTTTCGCATTATTTTCGCAGTATAGATAGATAAAGAAACCATCGTATTTGCAGGGAACATTTAAACCTGTCAGTTTTTTTATGAAGGAACTTAGAAATAGAAACATCACTGAAATAATTTTCTTGAATTCAGATAAAACTGTTTTCCAAATATTGACACCAAAGTCCGATAAATTCAATTCAATTTTTTTTTCAAATTTATAGATGCAAATACAAATGAGGTTTTGACTAGCGGAAATTCCCATTAAGTTTACTTAGAAACGGGCAGTAATATAAAATTCAAATTGATGACAGCATTCCCGAATCAGGACCAACCCAGAATTATTAGGAGATGACTAGAAATATTAATAATTCTGATCATCTGCTGATGACTTGGTTAGCAAAACGCGCCTCGAGACAGTATTTTCTTTCGATCAGGAAAAGATATTTTCAATAATTAAAGCTTAAAGTAAAATTATTTCCACATTTAACATTGTCAACAATTCACTCATAAACAGAAATTCACGTGAAGCTTCAAAGTATACTTTACAATGTACGACTTTTAGTCTGGTAATTCGAGCCACCGCATCCTTTGGATTTTTTTTAAACAAAACACAAGCACTACAGGAAAATCCGTAAGGCGCTCTCAGAGCGGTGCCTATGCTTTATTAGCGATTCACGTTGGATTTGAATCGCTGGAGATCAAATCCATTTGAAAAAACGTCTCAGGATATTCATTCTACATAAACGCAGTTCTCCAGATGAAATATTTCTTAAACAGTGAAGTAGTTCGAGGTATACCGAGTTGAACCTTAAAACGATGAGCAGCCACAGTCCATCTCGTAATTCTGACATGTACCGCTCTCCGAAATCACTTCTAGATCCTCATTAAGATATGCAACCTCTTGCTGCCGGTGAAGATGTGCCTCCGTAGCCGATGTCCTGGAATCCAAATACTATCACGAGACAAGTATGCTTTCGTCAGCACAGCCATAAATTGGATTCTTGGTTTTTTTAATAAGTCGTTGATATACAATAAAAAGAGGGTTGGAGACAATATGGATCCCTGGGGAACACCTGCAGGGAACGTTCTTTCAGGAAGCTGAAGAGTCATATACAGAAATTATTCGACAAGCCATAGCATCGAAGTTTGGCCAGCAAACCCTCATGCCACACACGGTCAAAGTCCTTAGAAATATCAAGCGCAACAGCTCTTGATTACCCATGTTTCTCGATTGCGTTATTCCAAATATGGGTGACATACGATATAAGGTCGCCTGTTGATCTTTATTTCCGAACGCCATATTGATGATCGCTCAAGATGTTGAAGCCTTCCAAACATTTAAGGTTATGGTGGTAAACGCAGTTCTCCAGATGAAATATTTCTTAAACAGTGAAGTAGTTCGAGGTATACCGAGTTGAACCTTAAAACGATGAGCAGCCACAGTCCATCGCGTAATTCTGACATGTACCGCTTTTCGAAATCACTTCTAGATCCTCATCAAGATATGCAACCTCTTGCTGCCGGTGAAGATGTGCCTCCGTAGCCGATGTCCTGGATTCCAAATACAATCACGAGACAAGTATGCTTTCGTCAGCACAGCCATAAATTGGATTCTTGGTTTTTTCAGTAAGTCGTTGATATACAATAAAAAGAGGGTTGGAGACAATATGGATCCCTGGGGAACACCTGCAGGGAACGTTCTTTCAGGAAACTGAAGAGCCATATACAGAAATGATTCGACAAGCCATAGCATCGAAGTTTGGCCAGCAAACACTCATGCCACACACGATCAAAGTTCTTAGAAATATCAAGCGCAACAGCTCTTGATTCTCCATGTTTCTCAATTGCGTTATTCCAAATATGGGTGACATACGATAGAAGGTTAACTGTTGATCTTTATTTCCCAAAGCCATATTGATGATCGCTCAAGATGTTAAAGCCTTCCAAACATTTAAGGTTATGGTGGTTTACGACTTTCTCCATGCTTTTTGATATCACTGATATTGGCGGTTTGTTGGCAAATATATTGACACAATCTCATCATATTGTGACGAACTAATGAATTAATTATGAACAGTCGTCATGTGTAAAACCTATCACATGATCAAGGGTAAGAATATTGATATCGGCTCGACTGTACCGATTTAATCAAAAGATTACATTCATCAGTAACATTTTTATTGTCTGGTGTTTATGAAACATATAATCTAGTAAAGATATTGTGACACTGAGATTTTTTTCATTAGTTATTGGTGAGCATTATTTGTATTACATACCTACGAATGAGACAAACATTGAAAAGTCTGTCTTCAGAACAAATCGAAAAGATATTTAAATTTTTGATAGGAATTTTTTCCATGTCTCGTATCATTCGTTCTGAAGTGGATTCTTCATAAAATTTTCATTGAATTTCTACTCAGGGCACATCAATTTTTAGTTGATTCAATTCAACGTTTTTATTGATTATTTTATCGAATAGGTCAATTTCTATTGGAAAGTTCTGATAGCTTAACCGTTGAGCGAAATGTTTCACTTTTTAAAAAAATTTGAATAATGAATAGACTGACCCGTTACTTCATGAAAATTTAAAACACATAATAATTAGAAACACAATTTTCACAAATATTTTTCCTCATTTCTACCTAGGAAGCTACGGTGTTAACGAAACACGTCAAGAAATTAGAATGTTTGTGAAAATGTTGTTATTATCATCATGGATTTTGAATAATGAAAATTGAATATTTGAGTGGAAATATCTCTTTTGAATATAATTTTCAAGTATGTGTGAGACTAAACCATACTATAATTCATTTTAGAATCTATTTATGATTCCATTATCACCAGCAATCTCTTTTTTTTCAAGTGTGGATATCAGAACATAAATTACCATTAAACCAAGTAACAAATATACATTTTAAATTTCAAAGTGGTTCAAGCTACCTCATCAGAAGTTGACTGATGTTAGAATAAATAATGCCGTATCGATAGTTGACAGTTTTTTAAAAATTCAATTCAACTATGAAACTCCTAATAATACAGTTTTTTAATGAACCCATCTCAACTTTGGAATGTTTTGGCAAAAGGAAATACCTACTCAAGGTGTCCTGATTATTGAAATCTGTATCACCAACTTTTATATGATACAAATAATGTGAAGAGAGTTGAAACTTTTGATGAATGTAGGTAAAGTTTCATCAGAAAAATAAATATTTCTAGTGAAATATATTTAAAAAACTGTTAAATGATGAACGATATCAGTTCGTTGGTTCTAGGGGGCATTTAATATATTTTATTTATATGCATTGTTGATACCGAATGAAAGTTTTTTATTATTTGAAAATTTGTGTATCAAGAGCCACCTTTGAAAGTCAAAGAAACCGATAAGAACATTCAATGATGATCGCAAAACAATAAGGATCACTTATTAGCAATCTGTGTTCAAAGACATCTTGTTACTTTATCACAGAATCAATACATTTTATTTGTAACGTAAATATTACCTCAATAAAACTAGTACCAAGGTCTATTTCGATATAAGTCATTATTATTCTGTAATATTTTTCCAAAGGTTTCTTCCGTTCACGGAAAAAAATTATTCAGAGCTCATTTCTTACGAGTTTTCTCATTTATGATTGTTAAAAAATGATTCGTCGATCTACCCAATGGTTTGTTGTTTTTTTTTTCATTCGGATCATTGGCCATATTTCAAGAGGAAAAGAGTTCTCCTTTCTCATATTTTCAAATCATCTTCTGGTGTAACCATAGAATTTGTACTTGTGAAAATTAATTTTCCGTAGATTCATTCAACACCGGACTTTTCACTGGTAACCAACATTTTCCATGATTATATTGTTTGTGGTGGAATATCAAAAAGAAATAACCACAAGAAATATATTTTTCCAGCAATCCTACGTTGTATTAACCATGTTCCGTCTTTCATAACGCACAATTGAGTAAAAAATAATATATCGAGTGTTCCGTATGAAACCGGATTCAAGGTTGGCATTGAACAAAGATAAGAGAATGTTGATATTCGAGTACAGGTAAATGTATTCAAAATTTAATATGCCGCTGTATTTTAAAGAAACGTCGTTTTATAGTTTGTGGGATTATGCAGTCATAGTAAATGGACCGAATTCAAATTAGCATAACGAAATAATAAAGATGGAATCAAAAGTATTGTTAAGATTGAGACATACGTAGAAAGTTGGAATAA